ATGTTTGACTGTTGTTTCTTGGAGGCCTGCTCCTTTCTGAAGGAAACAGAGGGAGAGTGGGTTTGGGCAGAGCTGGGAAGTGTAGAGGGTAGAAAATTATGGTCAGTATGGATTGTATGAAAGATGAATCTATTTTCAATATAAAAATTTAGTAAAAAAAAGTTGTCTTTTCAAAATTAGGAACAAAGGTTTATGTAATTCTTACTTTTAGGGATAGAATGTGGGACACCTCTTTTGCTTGTGTATAATGATCTCCAATTTTGTGTTTTATGGTGTGTGTGTGTGTGTGTGTTGTCCTTTTTCTTTTTTATTTTGATTTTTTGTTTTCATGTTTATTCTAAAGAGTAACAAAAAGAAAGGATTGGAGTTGAGTTGGGGAGAGGGAAAGTACCTGAAGATGAGGGAGGAGAAACTGATCAGAATAGGGTGTATGAAAAACACTATTTTCTTCTTTTGGTGTTTTGAGATGTGGTTTCTCTGTGTAGTCCCGGCTGTCCTGGAACTAGCTCTGTAGACCAGGCTGGCCTCGAACTCAAAGAAATCTGCCTGTCTCTGTCTTTGGGATTTGACATGGCCGCCTGGCAAAAAATTGTATTTTTCTGTTGTGTGTGGGGTGTGAGCTCTCAAGCATGCTAAGTAGGTTTTACCTGTGGAGCTGGGAACAAACTCAGGGCATTGTGTGTGAGGAACAAATCCTCTACCAATTGGGCGCCATCGCCAGTTTGGTTTACCTACTAATTAATATTGATAGTACCAAATGATGAGACAGAGAAACAAATGGTTTAAATCCTACATAAGATTGTCTTTTGAGGTCTTAACCCAGGGACTTGGGAATGCTAAGAATTCATTCTATCACCAAACAATACCTACAGATTCATGAAGAAAAAAATTTCAAATGCTTACTGGAGCAGCAAAGTAAAACACAATTCAGAAAACATAAGACATTTCTTAAAAATACCTCTGTGTAGCCAGGCGTTGGTGGCGCACGCCTTTAATCCCAGCACTCGGGAGGCGGAGGCAGGCTCATCTCTGTGAGTTCGAGGCCAGTCTGGTCTCCAGCGCGAGTGCCAGGATAGGCTCCAAAGCTACACAGAGAAATCCTGTCTCGAAAAAACCAAAAAAAAACCAAAAAAAAAAAAAAACCACCTACTGTGTGTGTGTGTCTTTTTCTATCGCTCTCCACAGTTTTGTACTTACTCTGCATATGATATATGTACATGAGTGTGGATGTGTGGATTGTGCACATGTGAAGGTCGAGGACAACTTCCAGAATCAGTTCTTTCCACTTTTTTTCTCAGGGGTCAAACTGGGGCCACCAGGCTCTGAGACAAGTGTCTGGACCCAATGCGTCATCTACCTGCTGACTCCTCGCCTTGTTTTGAGACAGGGTCTCTCACTGAATCTGAAGGCTGGCTGGTCCGTGAGCTCCAGGGAGCCTCCTGTGTCCTTCCTCAGAGACAGGGTCACAAGCACACACACCATGCTTGGCCTTTTATTTCGATGCTGCTGATCTGAACTTTGGTCTTCATACTATGTAATAAGTACTTATTGACTTCCCCAGTCCCACAAAACAATTCTTAAGAGAAACAAATAAATAGTAACTGCTTTTTTAAAAAAAGATTTAACTGGTTTTACACAAGAACAAGTGCAAAAATTTTGGGAAGCATACCATTTCAGAACTGCCAAAGGTGAGTGGCAGGGGGACAGTGAAAAATTAGGGTAATTACCCCAAACAACCAGTCCTATGGGTAAGGGACACTACAAAACAATAATACTCATGGCACGCCTGTCATTACATCACACACAGCAGGACTGAGAGCTCACAACCAACGTGTGCTAGCCAGCAAGACCCAGGCCCTGTTTCAAAACCCAAAGCCAAAGTAACAGAAATCCACAAGAGGAATCAACACCTGTCAAAAAACTCAAAACCCTTTACAAATAGTTTTAAAACTACCTTTAAACAAATAAAATGCTAGCAGTATGTTTTCCTTACTTGCCTTGGCAATTACCTCTCTAGTGTAGCTTCTAGATCAAATTCTGTCAGAATAAAACTTTCAAAAAACTCATTTGACTTGTTAGGAGATGCTGATTCTCCTTCAAGGTTTGTGCCTCAGGATTAGCCATCCAGGTGACTGACAGCACTGTAACACCGTGAGCACACCGTGAGCACTAGCCATTGTCTCAGAACTCAAATCTGACAGTGAGAACTGTGGGCACAATTAAGAACGGCATTGTGAGAAATGATGGAAACTTGACTTTGAATGGGAAGGGCTTTAAAACGGTCACAAGACAAGAGCCTGAGCTGCATTCCACATGAGCAATAGAAGCTATGGAATATACTTATTTGTTGATTTTTGTGACAGGGCCATGTTACATTTTAAATTGCCAAATGACATAGTAGGTTAATTTTTACTGGTTTTAGTATCCAGGACAAGATGGAGAAGACAAAAGGGACAAAGCTATTATTGTGACAAATCAGGCCAGAACTTTAAAGGAGCTTTAAGATACAAGGGGGAAATCTAAGTGACAGGGTGGTTATAATCAGTTATGGGCTGAAGGGGAGTCAACACTATGGAGGACAGAAAGGGTTCAGCATTCACAAGTTTTGAAAACTGCCTCACTCTTGTCCTATAGATTTACTTCAAAGGGTAGAAGTCCTATTTACTTTAATTATTCTTATAAGAATAAAGTAAAAGAGACTTTGAAATCATAAATCAAGAAAGTCATTAAATAAAAATATTACTATCATTCTAGATTCTTTACTTCCAGTTACATTACCAGATAGCTTCTCCTTCCTACATTTAGGTGGCTTTGAATAAGATATTAAAATATATAATTCTTAGTTCCACTACAAAATGAGAACAAAAACTTCAACACATCCAAAAGGTGGCATGGCTCAGCTGAAAAAACAGACAGGGAAATATACAAATCAGACACACAGAGTAACAGGAACAAAACACTGCTTGCTCAGCGACTGAGAGAGATGTCAGGGGTCTGAATGAGGGTGCCAGGCCCGAAACTCAGGCCTGAGAACACCACCAGAAGACCTGAGTATGAAATGACTGCAGCCTTGGAATCACTGAAAATAACTCCTCCAGGACTGGAAGCAGGAATTGAAGAAGCTGCTGTTTTCAGGAAAGAAAGAACCCACCAATAGGCCGGGCAGTAGTGGCACATGCCTTTAGTCCCAGCACTCGGGAGGCAGAGGCAGGCAGATCTCTGTGAGAGCCTGGTCTACAAGCGCTAGTTCTAGGACAGCCACCAAAGCTACAGAGAAACCCTGCCTCAACATGCCCCCCCCCCCAAAAAAAACCACCAACTCCAGAAAGAAAAGCCAAAGTTTGATTTTGTTTAACTCATTTGTCCAAAGCATCTAGTTCATAGAATTAAAAAATGAGGACTGATAGGAGACAGATGAACAGCCACTGTCTAAAGTAGCCCTGGTCCTTGCTTACACTGGCTGTCTACATCTCCTTGTCCTTCCTCCAATCTAAGTCCAGAACAGGAAATAAAACTGAGAACACATACACAGAAAGATTTTATTTAGAAGATGAAAGAAAGTGGGAAAAGCATTTGCTAGTCTGTAGGTCCAACAATAACTTTTAATTACTCTTACTATCTCTTCTTATAATGTCTATGGAAAATTTTCTTATGAAGTGCAGATAAAACACTTGGATGTTTTTCTAGTTATTGTTATACCAATCTTATATGGTGGTGTTGTCTATGATACATTTATTTTCTATCCGTTATTTTATTGGCCGTACAGACACTTATTTGATAGTTAGAAATGTTTTCCTAAAGAAATGTAGAAAAGTTTATAGTCTATTGTAAATCATTCTCAAGTGTTCCAGAACTGCTCTGTATTGCTAAGTGTAAGCTATGCATACTCAATTGTTTTGCACACCCCTTTCTAATAGTATTCACAATTGGCAGAGAAAAGATCCAAGAAGAGGGTCAGACACAGTGTCAGTGAGATCTCAGCAGTGAGCACATCGATAGCTCTGTTCAGCATATTAATCTGAATAACAAACCAAATTTTAGAAAGTTATCTCTTAGGCTTCATCTGTATTGCTTCCAGTAGTGTACCTGTATTGCTCCCATTATAAGAGTATACAGAGGCAGAAGAGGGGAGCATTGGTAGGCACCTGCCTAGCATACGGAGGACCATATAGCAGAGCATATGTAGGGATTCCCGATTACCATTACAAAATGTATTTACGATGAATTTCAAATGCTCCTTTTCCAAAATGGTTTTTAAAAGTAGGAGTTATAACAACCCAAGGTTAAGATGCATTATGTAACGTGCACCCTGGTATGATCATGCTAAAGGGTGAAGGGTAGCTAAGTAAGGTAGTTCACTCACACATTCACTCTTACCTTTATCATTTCCAATGTGAGAGCAAAGTGTCTGGGTCTTAGACACCAGTTTACATGGAAAATGTAGTGGTGAGGCATTGAACAAAAGCCTGCATTTGGTTCCAAGGGATGTCCATGCTTAATGAAACAAAGCACTGTGCCTAATAGGTTCTAAAATCTTTTTGTTTTATTTTGTTTCTCAAGGCGGGATTTCTCTTTCTGTGTGTAGCCCTGGCTATCCTGGAACTTGCTCTGTATACCAGGCTGGCCTTGAACTCAGAGATCCACCTGCCTCTGCCTGAGATTAAAGGCATGAGCGACCACCACTGCCTGGCTGGGCTCACAACTATCTATAAAAAGGATCTGATGCCCTCTTCTGGCATGCAGATATACATACATGCATAGCACTCATACATAAAATATAAATAAATTAAATTTTAAAAATTATGAAAATCTAACCAACTAATTGCCCCATTAGAACTGACCAGCAGCAAGTTGACCCACTGTTTGCTATAGCAGGGTGTGTTTCAATTCTGAAATTCTACCATGGGTATTTCTGAATTCAAAGTGTAACAGGCAAATTTTGATTGTTGAAAGGAAGATCATATTCAGACAGCAACGTAACATAAAAAAATTAAAGATACCCTGAAAACTACATGTGAATCGCTGAGCAGTGGCCCCTCTTTCTCCATGTAGCTCGACTCTCCAGTGATTAGATGCACGTTTCCTTTCATGTCCTCTACTGGGCTCTGACAGGCTGTGCTTTCTCCAGGAGTCAATGCCTTTGCAAGAGTGTCAAATGCCCTGTAAGGAAGCATCAGAAGCTGTGAGCCTGGGCAATCTCCAACAATAAAATGAAATTCTTATACAAAATCTGGAGTTACCATTTAAGTCAAGGGGCTGTGGGAATAGTTCAGTAGTAGAACACCTGTCTAGCATAAATGAGGCCCTTGGGTTTAGTACCCAGGACTGGGAGGCAGGGGAGTTAAGCATAAAAATTCTTTTGCAAATAGGGCTGGAGTGTGGTTCAGTGGCAGAAGGCTTGTGTAGTATACTACAGGTCATCGGCTCCACCTCCAGCACCACTGTCAGGAGGGGTATGCACACACAAAGCAAACAAACAACAAATCAGGCTTCAGAAAACAGTTTTCTTGCATGACAGACAGACTTTGCATTTCAGTGACCTCTGTGATTACCTCCAAAACCAAGAAATTAAACTTAGCAAGAATAGTGTGAAATATTATATATTGCCATATTATCAAGAAGTTACCATCTCTTTAAGTATGAGAGAATTCCTCATACGTATTCTTTCATATACAACTTATTTATGTTGACTTTGCTGTATCAAACACAAAACTGATTCAGTGTTGACCTGACTTAAAAATTCAGAGACAATTTTTACACTTGTGGCTACTTAGTGAAATGCACACAATTAACAATTTAAGATTAAGAGGATAGATAACTAGAGTTACCAAGTAATTATTCAAAACAGTTTCCCATACTGTTAAATGATACATTTTCTAGAGTTCCTTAAATGAAGTCATATGCTCAGCCGGGGTGTTGGTGGCACACGCTTTTAATCCCAGCACTTGGAAGGCAGAGGCAGAGGCAGAGGCAGAGGCAGGCCCATCTCAGTGAGTTCAAGGCTAGCCTGGTCTACAGAGAGAGCCAGGATAGGCTCCCAAAGCTACACTAGCTCCCTTCTTGAAAAACCAAAAAAAAAAAAAAAAAATGAAGTCATATGCTCAACAATTACCCAAGGCTCTGAACTGTGGTTTTCCCCTTTCTAGTCTTTATACAGCGCTGCTGTCAATCAAGCCCAGAGCCTAGAGCACACCAGGTGAGCACTCCAACACCACGCAGTCACACCCCAGCACAACATTAAATATTTAAATAATAAACTAAGTCTAAGAAAAGATGGAAGGAATTTCATCTCTGCATTCTAAGTATTAATATTGACAAGATAAAACCAAAATCTGATTCTATTTTCCTTAAGAAAAATTTAAAATTGTAGTTATTTCAATGAGATCTTCGACATTTATCTTTACCAACAAAAATTAGTGGTGGTTGGGAAATAAAGATGTCTTCGTAGGAAACATGTTTCGTTCTATATACAAAGAAACATCAGACCCCAACTGTCATTTAAAATGAAGGAACTTCCTTTTAAAATGAAGGAACTTCATTTTAATATATACTTACTGGTCGGGAAACTCATAATGGCATGTGTTTGGCATGTTGCACTAAAGGCAGATTTTCAGTTAAACCTTACTATGCCTTATATTTTTCTATTTATTTCTTATAGAAATACTTGTTTTCGGAAACTTTTATAGACAGACATTAACACAAAAACATTTTTATCAATTCCAAATGAAGTTTAGAAAGATGGGACTGGACTTTACCTTGAGACATCACCGTTGATCTGAATGTCTTGATGAAACGCACAGAAGGACGTGTCACCATTCCGTAAGCTCTCCGCCACAGGCATATTATTACTACTGTAAGAAAGGTCTTTAGCTTTGCCGAGATTTGCTAATGACGTGACCACACTGGCCAATGTGCTTAAGTCTCCCTGACACGATTCAACCTTTAAAAACAGAGAAAGCACTAAAATTTTGCAAAGTGGTACTGCTACATTTTAAAACCTTAAATATCAAGTTCTAGGTCATAAAATACTAAAGGAAAAGCAAATTAATAAATGAAATTGATGAACATAACAGCTCATTTCTGTATTCCCACCATTCAAGAGGCTGAGGTAGTAGGACTGTCACAAATTCAAGGCCAGTGTGGGCTACAGAGTGAGAGCCTGCCCTTAAAGAAAAAAAGAAAACTCTTAAGGAAAATATAGACTTAAAAATAGGTATAAGCTCTTAAAAATATTTATAAAAGTTTAAAACAAAAATTTTACTTACTAGCTACCTATCCAAGTCATAGTTACTTCCTCTATAAATGGGTATCAAATTAGGTAATAATTCTTTTTAGTACTAATTATTTAGTATTGATGGGGGGAAAACTTCCAAAACTTCTCTTTTTAAGATTAAAAATTTTAATTTTATGTGCATGGGTGTTTTGCTTGCATGGAAGTCTGTGCACTACATGAAGCCTGGTGCCCTCAGAGATCAACAGAGGGCATTGGGTTCCCTGGGGCTGGAGTCACAGATGATTTTGAGCCCTTACTGCTCCTGTAGAGGACCCATGTTCAATTCCCAGCAACTACATGGTCCTCTAGAGGAGCAGTAAGGGCTCTTAACCTCTGGGCCATCTCATCTCTCCAGCCCCAAAGATTTAGTTTTACTTTTCAAATAGTGTGTAATTGTGTGTATTCTTGTGGATACATTCATAGGAGTGCAAGTGCTTATGGAGGCCAGGAAAGGGCTCTGGATCGCCTGGATGGGAGTTACAGAAAGTCGTCAGTCACCTGAGGGAATGCTGGGACATGAAGTCAGATCCTCTGTAAGAGCTCTTAGCCACTGGGCCGTCTTCCTAGCCCCTCAAAATGTCTTCCATAACAAACTGGCATAGAATCTACATTAAGAGTAGTGAAAAGGGGAAGGCAAATTTATTACCAAACAGACTCCCTAAGATGTTGCTGTCTTAAATGAAACATAATGGGCCAGACCCAGCACTAGAACAGGAGGAAACTGATCCTTTGTCAGGGTTTATTTATGTTTTCTTCTTCCCAGAGTTGAAGAACCTCCTACTCATGCTATTGGTCTCTTAACGACATATCACACCCTTTCCCATTGTCTGCCAATAAAGAATACTAGTCTTTATGCAGTGGCTGGCCCTCTTTTGAAAAAAGCATTCTCTGTGCAATCTTTAGCTAAAATCACTGTACAGGAAGAACAGCGAAGGTCTTCACTTTGAGCTCTCGATCTTCAAAGCAACGACTTGACACTCAGCAATGTCTCTTGGCGACACATGAGCTTTTGGAATTACCATGTTCAGTGAAAAGGTTTTTATATACCTAACACTTTAATATATTCAATGCTTTTGGGGCTGGGAAGATTGGTCAGCAGTTAATGTACTGGGCTCACAAGCAGTAAGCATCAAGACTAAACTTCAGACACCTAGATTCTATGTAAATGCCAGTGGGCATGTGGTCTCTCTGTAATGTCAGCTCTCTGCTGGAGAGCCATATCTGTGGGTTCAACTGAGATCCTGCCTTGATGAATAAGGTGAAAAATAATCAAATCAGCCTCCCAACATCAGCCTAGGGACTTCATACACATGTGTACATGTACACACATGCATGAATATACAAACATGCACACACACACACGGATGTATACACACACAGAGGCACATAACAATAACTCTTTTAATGTTTAAATTATCCCATCCAAATCTAATAACAAGACCTTTAGGTTTTTTCCTTTTCTATTATTTTAAAAGATTTATTTATTTATTATGTATACAGTGTTTTGTCTGCATATTTGCCTGCACACCCAGAAGAGGGCACCAGATCTCATTACAGATGGCTGTGACCAACCATGTGGTTGCTGGGAATTGAACTCAGGACCCCTGGAAGAGCAGCCAGTGCTCTTAACCTCTGAGCCATCTCTCCAGTCTCCGACCTTTAGTTTCTTTCTATAGCCTACTATAGCCTTTAATTTGTTCCTGTCTGTGTGTACACGATTTGTTTCTTTCTTTTTTTTTTAATGCAGAGTCCTGATATGTCAATCAGGGCTGGTCTGCTGCTTTCTACAGTGTAGCCCAGGCTAACCTTGAGCTTGTGATCCCTAGCCTCTGCTTCCTGAGAGTTGGAATTAGGTGTGAAACATGACATCTAACACATATAAACCATTCTGAATTCTGAAATAATATTGGTGTTTCCTTTGAGGTTTCATTCATTTTATTAACTCCTTAATTTATATGAAACATACTTTGGTGAATAAGTAGACAATAATTTTCATGCCCTCAAATAAATTATTACCAGTGTTTGTAAATCCTTTTTGATTTTTTTAAAGATTTTTATATACAACATTCTGCTTCCATGTATATCTGCACACCAGAAGAGGGCACCAGATCTCATTAGGGATGGTTGTGAGCCACCATGTGGTTGCTGGGAATTGAACTCAGGACCTCTGGAAGAGCAGTCAGTGCTCCTAACCTCTGAGCCATCTCTCCAGCCCCATTTGCAAATCCTTAATGAATATCCTACCCACTAGCAAGTTCTTACATGACACATATGTGTGTGTGTATATATATATATATATATATATATATACAAATATATATATATATATATTTATTCACAGAATGACTATAGTTTGACTATGACTATAACATATATGTATATTATGTATGCATATACATATATAACATTAAATATGTTCATAAATACACACATATTTGTTATATATGTACACATATAATATACATATATACGCATATATATTTATTAATCTGTTAATCCTGTCCAATAGGAATCCTCATCCATCTTCAACAGAATGGCCCAGCACACACAGGCTACAAAGAACAGGAACCTGCTGGACTGCAAAGTCCATGTTCCTAGCCAATTAGCCTTCTTATATAAGAATATGAGTGCCAGATGTTGGTGGCACACATCTTAAATCCCAGCACTCAGGAGGCAGAGGCAGGCGGATTTCTGTGAGTTCCAGGATAGGCTACAAAGCTGCACAGAGAAACCCTGTCTTGAAAAACCAAAAAACAAACAAAAAAAGAATAAGTAATTAGTATTTTTTAACTATTTTAATTTTTTTTGTGTTTAGGTTTTGTATTTAGAGACAGGGTCTAAGTATGTAGCCCTTGCTGGCCTGGAAGTCACTGTATGTACACCAAGCTGGCTTCAAACTCATATAGATCCTCCTGCCTCTGCCCTCTGAATGCTGGGATTAAAGGCTTTGTTCACATATTCTGCTAGATATTTTAATATTTATCTAAAACTAAGAAGGGTAAATATTCCTTTCCATGAGACAACATATCTAACTAGATTTCAAAGTCTCTGCCACTGGAGATTCTTAGGAGTGTAACATGGAAAAATCTCATCTTGTGATATGATATTTGGGGCCATGTGTTAGGTTTTTGCATTGCATTTTTCTGATGGAGGGTTGTCCTTCTGTGTATATATTTCTCTTATTGGTTGATGAATAAAACACCGAGGCCAATAGAGGCAGGGAGATAGGTGGGACTAGGAGATGAGAATTCTGGGAAACATAGGCAGACAGCAGTTGCCATGTGAGAAAAGAATTAGAGGTCCAGACCCTTCTCTGGTAAGGTAAGACCACGTAGAAATACTTAAATTAATAGAAATGGGTTAATAATTAAGACAGAGCTAGCCAATAAGAAGCCCAAGCTACCAGCCAAAAGTTTTATAATTAATATAGCATCCATGTGTTTATTTGGGGCTGAGAAGGGCGGTGGGACCTGCCACGCCAGAAAGCTCACGCTACATTTTTCAGTGCTGAAATTGAACCAAGGACCTCATGTATGCTGTGTACATCCTTCCACTGAATGATGCCCTAGTGTTTTGGCTATGAGTGCTGCAAAGCCAGTGCAGGTGGAAGAAAGTCCTATCTCAGACACTCCAAATCTCTTCAGGGCCAGCAAGACAGCTCAGAGTGAAGGCACTGGCCACTAACGATGATACTTGAGTAGGACAAGATCCCATGTGGTGAGAAGGGAGAACCAACTCTAGAAAGTTGTCCTCTGAGCTCCATGTGTGTTGTGGTGTACACACACACACACACACACACACACACACACACACACACAAACACAGCAAATAAATGTAACAAAGTAGATTAAAAATCTTTTTTAGGAAAACTTTTTTCTTTTCTTACAGAAAGTGAACACACTTCATCTAAATAGAGAAAACTTTTAGGGCTGGGGAGATGGCTTAATGGGCAACAGTGGCTGTTGTGCCAGCATGAAGAACTGAGTTCAAATCCCTGGTATGCACATACACATCCATGTGACTGCAGGGTCCTGTAGTCGCCGCACTCAAGGGAGAGAAAACCTGGATGGTTGCTGGGGGTCCAACTGGAACATCAAATTCTGGAACAAGGCAGACAGTAATATAGCAGGGCATCTTCTAGGGCCTTTGAGAACATGAGTGTGAGGATGCCCACAAGCATGCACACATGTGTGCACACACACACATAAAAATCTTTTTTTTAGACTGTGCAAAACAAAAGATCTGCTGCAGTCTCAGAAGAGTCTAGATGACTTGGATGTGTAGTCTGAGAGCACATGCAATCTCATTCCTACTCCGAACCCAAGACCCACAGAAATGCCTAGGAAACACAGTGGCTCCATATCTTCCTTAGATTCAAATGAGTGTTTTGAATGAGGTATGCCAAGACTTCTCTTTAGTTGGAGAATCAAGCATTTGGCATTAATTAATCTAGCAGGGAAAATAAGTGGAACAGAGGTAAGAATTCTGTGCTACTCTCCTGCAACTGACCCTCAAATCAGAGTGCAGACTGGGCTGGCCCCACTTGCAGCCACCATCCTTCCTTTAGCTTCCAAGTCGTTGGGGTTACAGGAAGTGTATCATTCATTTTGTTTGGTTTGGATTTTGCATAAATTAGTTTTCTGGTAACTTTTATTTCAAGGGGAAAGAAAAGAAACTGGGAACACTTTTCATCTTGGTTGCTTTCATGTTAAAGATAAAATTTTAGTGGCATGGTGAAGAACTTTATCAAGTAATTTTAGCTTTAGAAATAGGGATTAGGGACTGGAGAGATGGCTTAGCTGTTAAGAGCACTGGCTACTTTTCCAAAGGTGATTAGTTCAATTCCCAGCAACCATATGGCAAGTTACAACCATCAGAAACAGGTTCTGATACCCTTTTCTGGCACACAGGTATACATTCACACATACATAAAATATACACATAAATAAAATCCTTTTTAAAAAGGAAACAGGAATTATCGCTCAGTAGTAGAGCAATGGGGCTAAGGACTCAAAACTCCAATACCACAGGGATAGGCAGTAGGGGGGGGGTCTTTAACTTGCACTACATACCTTATCTGGTGTCATTAGCATAGTTGGTTCTGTTTTTATTCCAGATTGATGAATATTCACGAACATTCCTGAATCCAACAGTCCCGTTGACCTGTAATGAATGAAGCCGAAATTTTAGTCTTACTTGATCTGGGGATGAGAAGCAAATGACCAGCTTAACGTCACCTATATGGCACCTGGGGGTCTCGCCATCTGTCACAAAGGTTGGAGTGGCAGCCAGCGGGCTTCGCAGGTCTTTTCGGATGTAGATTTTTTCTGTGGAAGCTGCACAGTTAGAAGATTTTTCTCGGGATACTTCAATGGGTTTTCTTTCACACTGAACGGCTGTAAAAACACATTAAATTATTATATTACAATACAGACTTTACGGAATTCATAAATCTAAGCTTCCTATCATCAATATGCCTAATGAGAGGGAGACACTGCTTCCAAATGAATTTCAAACGCAGCCGTCAAGGCTTTACAGCATCTATTTTACACTCAGTAATGGTGCTCCCTTTTTGTAGAAACTGGTCAATTTACACTTTATTCTCATCTCTTATTTTGCCACTTCTTAAGAACCCTCACAATCAAGAAGGAAGAACTGAATGAAGGGAGATGTCTCTTATGCACACAGAGTTAAAGAAAAAGAAACTCATCAGTTGAAGATAATACTAATAAAGAAAAAGGTCAGTTAGGATCTTTGCAGTTAAGAAATAAGTATGCAACAGACAGAAGCTCATCTACACAATGTGCAGTATCTATAGAAACTTCACAGTACCTAAAGAGGAGGCAAGACATTTCTGTTAAAAGTGCATTTTCTTTCGGGATGGAGGGGAAAGCAAACTGTCAGAAGTCAAAGCTCAGCCACCTGTTAGCTGTCTGTCCTTTGGTGAGTTTTCAGCCTTTCTCTGTGAAGGTGTTATGTGTTAATGGTCTAACCAGCCACAGAGGACTGCTATAAGAATATGCCAACACATGCGTAAGGAGTGGAGCGGCTTTTGGCACATGGACAGTTCAATCAGGACAGGCTGCTGTTACCAAGATCATATTTTGGGCATCAGTCACAAAGCACATGGGTGTCTAGCTGCTAATGATAGTTTTTAATTTTAGAATGTAACATTGACAATGCCACAGAGAACTTAGGAAAGACAACAAAATCACTAAAAATTCTATTATGCACATTAAAAATTTTAAATTCTGAGACAACTTACAAAAATCATTTGGGCACTATGTGCCAACTGGAAATTGTGCTTGTCACAAGAGTATTAAAAATATTTGTTTATTAAATAATAAATACATATGGATATATTCTACTTTTGGTTGAACAACTAAGAATTAAAAAGCACGTGTCACAGTTTGCTGCTGTGAATGAATTTTGAGAGTTTGCTGGATTCTTACAAACATTCCTCTTTTAAAGCAAGTACGTACAGTCTTGTTTCATCCCAAATGCGATGCACCGCTGTAGCCGGCAGTACTGACATCGGTTTCGGTGGTGCTTGTTGATTATACAGTCTTTGGATCCGCGACAGGAATATACTAGATTTTTTCTGATGCTTCTTTTAAAAAATCCTTTGCAGCCTTCACAAGTTATTGCTCCATAGTGACGTCCTAGAGATGAAATGTTTAAGAAAATACAAAAACATACTATAAATTAGAAGTGAAATAAATCCTGCCTTTTCTATTAAAATAACACATAAAATAAAATTGTGATTGAGATTCTGACAAAAAAATTTTTGTAGCATTTATTTAAGTAGAGAAGTAAGCAGCCATATCCTGTGGTAAGTTTAATGATATATAGTTTTGAATTTTATAGTGTAACATTAAAAATTAGAGAACTTAGAAGCAAAGCCATCATCAAAAATTCTATTATGCACCAATTAAAATTTTTAATCCTAAGAAAGCTTACAAATTATAGTTTTGTCATAATATAACAGTATCTTTTCCCCTCTCCTGCTGGGGAGTGAATACAGCACTTGTACATGCTAGGCAAGCATTCTACCACCAATCTGTATTCTCGGCTATAATAGACACTAATATTACAGCTCCAGAAAAATGGAAAATGCTACCTAGTACTGGAATTATAATAACCTTTCTTTGTGAGTTTCACTTTGAAAACTTCTTAATACAGCTTTTAAAATCTGGGTCTAGAGAGATGCCTCAGTGGGAAGAGCACTTGCTACCCAGGATCAGTTCCTAGTACCCACCATCTATCTGTAACTCAAGTTTAAGGATTGGATACCCTCTGTTAGTCTGCAGAGGTATCAGGTGCACATAGTACATACAGATACAGCCAGGCAAATTGCTCATACACTTATTACATTTTGATGAATTTGTTATTTCACCAGTTGTTTGTTTTGTATAACATTAACAAATTACACATACTTGAGAAAGTTCTTTTTTTTTACATTAGCACAATATAGCAATTTATTTAGATGGTTAAAATGAATTCAAAGGGAAATAAAGACCAAAAAATCATACATACTACAGCAGTGTGTCATGTATTACAGGATATAAATGAATACACCTGGTGGTGATCAACTAAAGAGGAAACTAAATATCCCAAATACAGCACTCAACTGTGCTTGCTGCTCTGACACAACACTCTTACAGATCTATAAAAGGTGTCAAAATTAGTAGCTGTAAAATCAATTCTTGCATGTTACTTTAGCTTAAAAGGTCTCAGAAAGATATCTGAAACACCAGTTTTGACAATTGTAATGTCAAGGATACTTAGAACAAGAAAAAAATTCTATAATACAGGAGAGTCCATATATATATGTTGCTGACCTCTGTTGCAAGATTGTACAAGGTATGTGCAAAAACTAAATCTGTCCAAAGGTCCATACTATCGCAGGGTCAAGCTTCTGCTAGGTAAACTAGATATAGCATTTATCACACAGCAAGGGCAACACTAAAAACCAATCTATGATGGGCACACAGTAACAGTGTCAGAAGCATCACTTGAGGTCTAAAAGACTGTATAAATATACATTTCAACTATTGAGGGAGAGTTCTAATGGAAGTTTTTACAATAAAATTTCAAAAAAAAAATTAACAAAAGCAAGCTGGGCTCTTGAACTCTGCCCCACTGACACCTGTGCATATGTATTAGCAGACATTAGTGTGTACTTCTCACAGGACGCAGTGATCAGAATTAAAATGATGTATCACTGAACACACAGACCTGACTGAGAACAGCCCACCTAGGTCTTAGAGCCAGACTTTCCCAGCACACCCCATCTGATCTCAAACACTAACCAGTCAGACATGGTTCATTCCTGGATGGGGAAATAACTAAAGTAGATATGCAGAACTCCAAATAAAGGTTGACCAAAGAATCTCCTACGTCAGCAATTCAATTTACTCAATTTACAGGGTTTGGGGAAGTGTGTTAAAATAAATTACCCACATAATGTATTATTAAAGACCACAGCTCATTTTCCAATGATTCTTTGGCAAATTTAATTTTTACATTTAAAACTTTTTCGTGTGTTTACTTCCAAACAGTGAAACCAAAACAAATATTTTATGCCATTATAAGTCAAATGAAATGACACTGAAGAAAAAGTATAAAAAGAGAAAGGTGAGCTAGGTGTTGGTGGCACATGCCTTTAATCCCAGCACTTGGGAGAAATAGGCAGGCGGATCTCCGTGAGTTCGAGGCCAGCCTGGTCTCCAGAGGGAGTGCCAGGATAGGCTCCAAAGCTACTCAGAGAAACCCTGTCTTGAAAAACAAAAACAAAAACAATAAAAAGAGAGAAAGAGAGAAAGAGAAAGGTATAGTTTCATAGGCCACAAAGATGAAACATAAAACATAGTCTTCTATTTATTTTTGAATTTTAGAGGGAACACAGTTGAGAAGCAATTACTTTAACAGTATAACATATACAGAATTATCTTTAACCTTACCTGATGCTTTGTCTCCACACACTACACAAAGATCAAAAACCTTATTTGGCCCCTGGTCAGGAGAATTTTCTGTAAAGAGCTTTTAAAAGAAGAAAACCGTCATCGATCAGCAACAGCTTCATGCTGTCCAACAGTGGAAGAACACAAGAGTCAGAGTCACTTCTCACTTTGACTAAGAGCTATTGCTATGGATATAGCAGTTAAGCTAGTCTTCTGTCACACACAGAAAAAACAGTTCAGTGTTATACAAGGCAAAAACTATGAGTATCTTCTTCCTTGTTCCACAATAGTCACAACAATTCCATCCAGAAACCCAAATGAGCAGGCCTTGATGGCATGCCCCTTTGATCCTAGTGCTGTGAGGAGGGTGGGGAGGAAAGGTGGATCTTTGAGAATTCAAGTCTAGCCTGGTATATAGTTAGGTCCAGTCCAGCCAGGGGTATATAGTGAAACGCTCAAGAGCAAAACCAAAACACCCAAATCCAACTAGTGGTTGAGAGCACTTGCTGCTCTTGTAGAGGACACAGGTTCAGTTTCCAGCACCCATATCAGATAGTTCACAACCAATATGCATATATAGTTCCAGGGAGTGATGCCTTCCTCTGATGTCCACAAGCACCTGCAGACATGTTACACACACATATCTGCAGGTACACACATAATATATAAAGTAAATACATCTTTAAAAAAAGTTCAAGACACAAATACACAAGTATTTTTAAATGTAAGCCACTCATATACACTAATATTATTCATATATAAAATTATTCATAGAAATATGTCTAATTATTCTAAAAGTTCTAAGACTTTTCATGACATTGTCTTTGACAGTTCAGAATCTTTCCAAACGAAGTGACCTGGCAGAACATATAATAAAGCTGGCATGATGGTGCATCTTAGAGTTAAAGCAGTCTGTGCTACACAGTAAGACCCTGTGTTAAACAAATGAGCCCTGCTGCCTCCAACCTTCAAAGTGACAGCATAAAAATGCTATCAAAGTGATCAATTATAATCATGCAAATATGACTGCTATACAAAGACACCACATAATTGGCCATTACGGAGGCTAGGTGAGGTGGCCTTGGGTAAACCATTGAGCCTATTATAGTGTATAAAGAGCTCATCATTAGGTATAGCTATTAGGATGCTAGCAAGGAGTTCTAGTTTCTCCTTTCAGATTTACTTGTCAAATCTTCTGCTAGTTGCTTCCCTATAAAAGAAAACAGACATTTTTTACTGTTGTTTACCTGGAGGTGTGGCATGGAGAGGTCAGTAGTTGCAAAGAACAACTGGTTGGCACCTGCATCATCTGGGGTGGTGAGGAACACTTTTCCTGGGGTGGGGCCCTCAGGGTTTGCCAGAATGAACTGTTTGCCCTGTGTGCTATGGTCAAGTGCTGTCAGAATCTGGATTTTCTGTTCCGTCTGCTGCTCTGTAACAATCTGACACAACCATGGCACATTAATAATGGATTCAACTCAATCATGTTTGTTTGCTTTCTGAGACAGGTCTAGCTATGTGGCCAGACTGGGTTTGAACTCACAATCTACTGGCTCAGTCTCCAGAGCATCTGCTACCATACCTGATTTTTGTTTTTCTTTAATAAATCAATTCTAACCTCAAAACAAAGCTAGAAAAGCCAATTATATACCTTTTAATTGGCAACTCTCCTTGAAATGAAATTCTGATAGAAGCATGTATGAAATTTATTAAAATTACAGCTGGGTGGTGGTGGCACACGCCTTTAATCCCTGAACTTGGGAGGCAGAGGCAAGCGGATCTCTGTGAGTCCGAGACCAGCCTGGTCTACAAGGTGAGTTCCAGGACAACCAGGACTCCAAAGAGAAACCCTGTCTCAAAAAACTAAAATAAGTAAATAAACAAATAAATAATGTACAGTAAAAGCTCATTTGATTTTGATTATCACTATTTTGATGCCTTCCTTCTTTCACTCAGCAATCTCGCTCTTGCTCTCTCCCTCTCTCCCTCTCGCTCTCTCTTTTGTTTTGTTTGTTGGTTGGTGGGTTTTGTTTTTTCAAGACAGGGTTTCTCTGTGGCTCTGGAGGCTGTCCTGGAACTAGCTCTTGTAGACCAGGCTGGTCTCGAACTCACAGAGATCTATCTGCCTGCCTCTGCCTCCCGAGTGCTGGGATTAAAGGTGTGCGCCTTCACCCAGCTCACTCAGCAATTCTTACCCTGTTGGTCACACCACCTTTGGCAAACCTCTATCTACAAAAATATTTGTTTGAAGGAAGGCATCAAAATAGTGATAACCAAAATCAAATGAGCTTTTACTGTACATTATTTATTTGTTTATTTGCTTACTTATTTGTTTATTTACAGTAGCAAAATTTCAGCTATGAAGTAGCAATAAAAATAATTGTATGGTTATCTAATGTTAATTTAGCTTTTAGAAAAGATAATTAGGAACATAAAAAAAAAAAGAGAATTAGGGACATGAATGATCTGTCGATGGATTGAAACATTAAATTGAGTAAAAGGGTATTTACTACAGTGTAACAGAATTAAAAGAAAAGATAATAAAGTTGGGTCTTCTATGAAGATCAATAATTAGTCAAGCAATTCTCAGGTCTCAGGACCCCTCTACACTCTATAAATCTGGAGCCAGCTCTCATATCAAACTAGACATACATATCACAATCAATGAGATGGGAAGGACCCAGCCCAAGAGGAGGGACATGCCAAAAATGCCATTCTCACATGCAATTTTGCCAAGTTTCTCATGGGCTAGAATGACTACAGGGTAAAGCTGTATGATCTTATGGAAGAGTCCCTGGTTACAGAAGGGTATGTCTTGCTATTTCCAGACTCACAAATACATGCTCTGGCTAAGTCCCCCCAACCCCTGCCCAAGGCCAGGCCTGGAGAACTTTCATTTGCATTCATGACTGCCTGTCTGTAAACCAGAGGGCTGCTGGGACAGATCAGAAGATCCAGTGTACACCTGTAGAAGGAAGCTCCTGAGACCTCAAGCCATATTCTGGTATAAAATGAAGAAACTGGGGGTGGGAGGAAGCATAATAAAATTTCCAAGATAATTAAAAACCCTTTATTCATTTAAAAATAATTCGTATATTATTCACGAATAGAAAGTAATGTTTTATGAAAACTAGTTTATTTCTCCACTAAATATGTAATAGTAAGAGTGGTGTTGTTTTACATTTCTGTTAACTCGCAGATCTCTGTGAGCTCAAGAACAGCCTGGTCTACTTACAGAGCAGTTTCAGGACAGCCAGAGCTACACAGAGACCCTATCTTGAAAAACCAAAGAGACGGAGAGAGACAGAGACAAAGACATAGAGATGGAGAGAGCACACCAAAACATGACGAGTAGCTTTGCAAAAGTCAGCTGCAGTGTGGGATCAGGGTGTAGAGGTGGGAGAGCTTTGAAGAAACAGATATTTTGTCTTACTAAGTCGTAAACACTTTAATCTTTTTTCTTAAAATTAATCATTTTGGCCAGGCCTTGATGGCACACACCTTCTAATCCCAGCACTTAGGAGGCAGAGGCAGGCAGATCTCTGTGAGTTCAAGGCCAGCCTAGTCTACAGACTGAGTTCCAGGACAGCCTCCAAAGGCACACAGAGAAACCCTGTCTCAAAAACCAAAAAAACAAAACAAAAAATTAATCATTTTGTTCACCTCTATTTATACCTAGTCTGGCCTTGAACTTGAGATCTTCCTGCCTCTATTCTATCTCCAATAGCCTGACAAATCAATATTTTTATAAGTAATAATAACCTGAGGAAGATTTAATTTTCAGTCTCACTATCACATTACTATTATCACATGATTTACTTATATGATGTAGTTGAACTTTACCAACCCTATTGTAGTATGGTTATGATACAACTTGATTGAACTATGGGGATATTTGTTTTGTGTTTTTAACACCAACTATCCCATCCTAGTTATTATCCTATTATTAGTGTGCATGTGGGCATGACTGTGTGTGTGTGTGTATGCGCGCCGGGGTGTGCGCTCGCTCGCATGTGTATGTATGTGGAGGTCAGAGGACAACCCTGTGGAGTTGTTTCCCTTCCTGCCCCCTTTTGTGGGCCCAGGGTTTGAATTCATGTTACCAGCTTTGCTCAGAAACTACCCCTACTTGCTAAGCCATCTCAAAGGTCTAGTCCAGTTATCATTATCAGACCTTTAACCAATCACCCTATATCATACTGCAGATTTCTAAGGAGCCTGCTTATTTTTACTATTTTAAGTTTTTTACATTTATTTGTCTGGGCAAATGTGTGTAGTGTGTGTGTGTGTGCATGCACATGGGTGTACATGCACTCTATAGCATGCACGTGGAGGGAGGACTCCTTCAGGAGTTTGTTTTTTTTTTTTTTTCCTCATCACCATACAAGTTCTGGGGATGACTCTGGTCATTGGCTTAGTGGCAAGCACCTCTAACTGGATGAGCCATCTCCCTGGCCCCTGAGACTGGTTTTCATTGGGTGCTATTGTATAGCAGGGCCTGTCTCTCTTTCCTACAGTGAACAGAGGCTAAGGAAGGTCTCTAAGAAGAGGTAGTGTTTGCTTTCTGAGGCTTGCTTCTGAGGCCAGATATGCCAACTTTTTTTTTTTTTTATTTATTTGTTTGTTTTTAAGAGACAGGGTTTCTCTGTATTGATTTGAAGCTTGGCTTGGAACTCGCTCTGTAGATCAGGCTAGCCTTGAACTCACAGAGATCTGCCTGCCTCTGCCTCCTAAGGGCCAGGATTAAAGGCATGTGCCACTACTACCCTGCTGCCCCAACATTTTTAATCACTTCAAAATAACCATGTCAGACATGGTCAAAATAATTCAGACTGGAGTCAAAATTAACAGTGTCTATGGGAGTAATATGTCACAAACTTGTGGATAACACCCCCAAAACATATGCCATATCAAAGCAACTTAAGACATGGTCATTTAAGACTGGCCCCAGCTTTCCTAATCCCAAACAACGTTCTCTGATCAGATACTCTCCCACTCTAACTCTTTATTAGCTTTTCATTTATTTTTTATTGTTATAAACATTTTGTATATGTGTGTTCCACAGCACCATATACATTATAATCAAAGTACTTACCGTATTCTATTGCACTTATTTAACTACTTCTCACTGCATAGAAAAGCTATCTGAAAGCTGGGCAATCGCTCACCCTGGTACTTCCAAAACCTAAATCAGACATTTAGCACAAAGAATGAAAGTTTGGTAGTTCAGAAAATGAATTGTAAACTAGACATACCTCACCCATTTGTTGTTCAATAATTTGATGTGCAATTTCTTCTATGGTCGCCATGATCTAATTGTTAAAATATCTGCCAAAGATGAAAAAGGCCTTTTTAGAATTATACACATAATGTTTACTGAAGAATTTATATTATGGTGAAGTTATATTTTGCTTAAGATTTTCTTTAAAATAATCCAGTTAAGATAGTGGGATGTTGTAACACAAATTATATAAACTCAGAGACAGGTATCATCAGGGTTAAAGCTGAAGATGAAAAGCAAAGCAGTCAAGCCAGTAGCTCTTACCTCTACCAAGCTCAATGTCAATCGTGTCTCCACAAATCCTTAGAGGCAAATGCTCTCCATGAATTCTCCGAGGCAAATGCTCTCCCTGTCTGGAAACTAAATCTCATGTGAGACTCCTTGCTTCTTCCTTTTAACCTCCCTAGTGCTGGGATTAAAGGCGTGAGCTCTGTTATTCTTTTAGACTAATTCATTCTTGTGTCACCTCGGATGGCCTTGAACTCACAGAGACCCATCAGCCTGTCTCCTGAGATTAAAGGTGTGTGCCACCATTACCTGGACTCCTTGGCTAGCTAGTATCGCTGCTGGGAATAAAGGTGTGTATCATCATTGCCTGACCTCTATGCTCTGCATTTTGATCCCCAGTGAATTTATTAGATTAGAAACAATATGTCACCACAGGGTGTGCGAGGGACTAGACCTGTGGTTCTCAACTTTCTTAATGCTGTGACCCTTTAATACAACTCTTCATGTTGTATTGGTGACCCCAACCACAAAATTATTTCGTTGCTACTTCATAACTGTAATTTTGCTTCTGTTATGAGTCGTAATGTGAAGGGACCAGCTTCCCTTTTGGCAGCCATAACGGCTGAACATGTGCTTCTATGACCTTGTCCTAGACACTAGAAAGTCAGATGCCTGCCTCGTGACAAGGAAACAATCAGAAGTTAGTCACTAGAAAGTCAGATGCCTATCTCGTGACAAGGAACCGATTGGAAGTTGGCTGGTGGCACTATGCTTAACGACCCTGGGTGTGCTTTACAGACAAGTGCACAGCAATGACACACAGAGCATAGCAACCACCTGGGAGGGCCTATGAGCCATAACAACCAGTTGACCAATCAACACAGGGCAAACCCTCCAAGCCTGGAGGCACACCAATCCGGAGCCTGTGCATACCCCTAGAGACTCCCCTTATGCTGCCCTATAAAAATCTGTACGCAGCGGCTTCGAACTGTCTTTGCTAGCCATCTGACATGGCGGGGGGATCAAAGACCCAAGCTAACATGGGGTTAGCTCGTTAAACTACAATAAAGCCTCAAGCAATTTGCATCAAGCTTTCGCCTCCACTCTGTGATTGGGGTGGCGGCGGTCCTGGGCTAAGATTCTGGAAGCCTGGGCTTTCCGAGGGTCTTAAGTATCTGATATTCAGGATACCTGATATGCAACCCCCATGAAAGAGTCGTTTAACCGCCCTGCCCCCAAAGGGTTGTGACCCACAGGCTGAGAACCACCGGATTGGACAAAACAAGATTGGCTGTATACTAGCAATGTTGAACACATTGTCAGCTGATGAGGGTGCGTGCTGGGGGTTCAGGTAACTATTCTGTTTTTTTTTTTTATAATTTATTTAACCTTTATTTTATGTGCATTGGGGTGAAGATATCAGACCCTCTGGAACTAGAGTAACAGACAGTTGTAAGCTGCCATGTGGGTGCTGGGAATTAAACCTGGGTCCTCTGGAAGAACAGTCAGTGCTCTTAACTGCTGAGCCATCTCTCAAGCCCTACTATTCTGTTTTTGTATACTCAGACATATCTGTTTTAGCCGGGTGTTGGTGGCACACGCCTTTAATCCCAGCACTCGGGAGGCAGAGGCAGGCGGATCTCTGTGAGTTCAAGGCCAGCCTGGTCTCCAGAGCAAGTGCCAGGATAGGCTCCAAAGCTACACAGAGAAACCCTGTGTGGGGGGGGGGAGGAGATGGGGGACAACGATCAATGACATATGTTTTAAAAAGCTGCTCTATCTGTGTGGGTGGATAAAGTGTCTCCTATAAGTCACATGCTATTATATGGAAATCCCAGTGCCTGGAGTAAGCTGCTTCCTGTGAGCTATTAGTCAGGAAGGTCTCTGAAGCCCACAGACATTACAGGCAATTGCCACTACTGTTGGTTGTCCATGGGAACTGGATGGCAAGACCCCACTGCTGAAGACACCAGACTGGTTACAGGACACAAGAGAAATCAGGCTGGAACTGGGCTGGAAGCTTCTTCCCTGCTTGAAGGTGCTTGAAGGTATTGTGCAGGCTGCTGGGGGATTATGACCTATAATCTTACTTAGGTATAGACTTTGCAATGTGACATTCCTGACCTGATCATTAAAATGCCTCCCTCCCCATAATGATAAGTCTTTCTTCTGAAGCCACCCGAGTTCCACCTGCCACTGCGTTAGGGCCCCAAATAATACACAGAAAGTTATATTAGGTTACAATGCTGTTGGCCAATTGGCTAGGATTTCTCATCTGCTAACTCAGTAGTAATTATCAACCATAATCATAAGACTTATGGAGGACGCCTTCTGCTGGCATCCTCTTCCAAAGTCACATGGGGACTGCAGAGCAGACAGCAGGAGGAAGAGAGAAAGCCACAACTTACTTCTTGCCCTTGCTTATATATGAGGCTACCTGCTGTGTCGCTTCCTGCCTGTATCACAAGACTTCCTTTTACATTTCCCAGAATCCTCTTTGACTCCTAGTCCTGCCTAACTTGCTGCCTCATTGATCAAACAGTGCTTTATTCAACAACCATTAGGATAAACATACACAGAAGAACCTCCCCCAATTGCCCCAAGTGGGACACACAACAGTGGTAAGTCTGTTATGGCAATAAGCAACTGCTCTCTGCTATGACTTGAGGCCTGCTTCTTCACAGGAGGGAATCCATTTTTAGTACTGCAAACACTGTGCAAAGCCCATGGCTGGAAGGCCCAGGCTATAACAAATAACATATAGAGACAGCTAGAACACTGCCAACATTCTAGTCCCCTGAACAAAGCTGTTTACATTCCTTTGTGTCACTGAGTTGTCTTTCTTTTTTGGGGTGGATTCGAGACAGGGTTTCTCTGTGTAACAGCCCTAGCTGTCCTGGAACTAGCACTGTAGACCAGGCTTGCCACAAACTCAGAGACCCACCTGCCTCTGCCTCTTGAGTGCTGAGATTAAAGGCGTGCGTCACCACTGCCCTTCAATGTCTTTCTAAATCATAACTCCTCTATCTTCATGTAAACATGATTAAACTGGAGAGAATTCCATAGTAGAATGCTTGCCTAGAATGCCAGAAGAGGCCTGAGCTCAACTCCCAGAAACACAAAGCAGCAAGCATACAAAACAAGAACAACTCTCTCTTTGAAGTTGAGTTTCTAATGACTTTATCATTGTCTTTTGGTAACTTCTGTTTCAATACCGCCACCTACTGAAGTTTACACTAAGTGTTGTTCCTTTCATGTCCTTGAGGACAGCCAAATCACAACCATCTTGTCTTCAAGTATCTTGCCCTCAAAGTCCAATAAGACTCATCTAATTGCAACTTCGAATTTTTTAACAAAGTATTATTTGTGTGTGACTGTGTGCATGCTCATATGCATGTGTGGAGCCAGAAGAGGGCATGCGTGCGTGCCCTCCACCATCACCCTGTCTATTCCTTTGAAGAGGGGTCTCTCCTTGAAGCTGCAGCTCACGTTTTCTTGGCTAAGCTAAAGGGCAGCAAGTCCTAGTAATGCCCACGTCTCTGCCTGCAAGCCATCTCTCCAGGCTCCACTTTAGTATTTTGCAAAAGATCAAACGAACAGATTTACTATCACCTATCTTCTCAATATTCATCACAGCCTGGCTTTTACCTATGGAATTTGGGCTGTCGTTTGCCAAACTCTACATTATAGCTGCACAGAACCCTAAGTCTTGCAGTTTTACCATGCTCCCCCATCCTTGATAATGGCTTTTCTCTTCACTCTGAATGTCACACAATCATTGATCAATATATGTGCTCAGGACTGCATAGAAAAATGAGACAAAACAGGCATTTTTCTTCTTTAAATTTTTAATTTTTTAAATTATGTGCACATATGTAGATTTGTACATGGGAATGAAGATGTCAGGGGAGGCCAGAAGGCATCACATACAATGAAGATGGAGTTACAGGCAGCATTGATTGGCCCAATGAGGGTACTGGGAATTGGAACTTGGGTCCCCTGGGAAAGCAGCCAGTACTCTTAACTGCTGAGCCATCTTTCCAGACTTATTTTTAAAAGTAGGGTCCCAGGTAGCCCTGGTTGGCTTTGAACTTGCTATGTAGCTGAGGATGACTGTGAACTCCTAACCCTCCTGCTTTTACCTAAGTACTGGGATTACAGGCAACTGCCAACATATTCTTCAGACTGTTGATGGCTTAATCTATTCTACCTTCCCAGAGAAGTAATTTGCCACTGTACAGCAAAAATGTTAAATTGTTTACTTTCCACACTTGAGGCTGAGTCAGAGTTTCAAGTTCATGGTCAGCCTGTTACAGAGTGCTAGAATTTAGAGTTGTAATCCCCATTGTAATAGCTACTAAAGCACAGTTTATTGTACACTATCCTTATTGTTAATTTGAGGTGGCTTTTTCAGAAATAAGACCAGCAACACCATCTATCTCTCTGAGAAGTTAAAGAGTCCATGTAAGTGAAAATATACCCATGGCTGATGGTCTTTAGCAGGCAATAAGTTTCCACTTGTTAGCAGAATGAACCCAATGCTAAGTGAGGGAAAGGGCCCAGAGGAACACAGCTAAAGGAAAATTTAGCAAAATCTTATAGAAGAGATAACTAAATTAGTCAATTGAAGGGTTCTGTACTTTTATTAGCCTGAGATAGAAAACAGGAGAATGAGGGCTGGAGAGAAGACTCAGTGGTTAAGAGCTACAGCTGCTTTTCCAGAGGTCCTGGGTTTGATTCCCAGCACCCAGCTCGTGGCTCACAATTGTATGTAACCCCAGTTGCATGGGATCCAACACCCTCTTCTGTCTGTGTAGTCACAAAGCATGAACATGCAACACAGATATACATGCAGGCAAAATACCCACACAGACTAAATAAAATTAAATTTCAAAAGCCTTGATTTCTCACACAATCCCCTTGACCTCCTCTCTTCATCCTTTCATAGAAATGGTTGAATTAATAAAAAGCCCTCAGTTTCTTAAACTATGGGTCTCTATGCCACACAAGGTCATTTACTGGTCACCACAGGAGTTACCACAAAGCTGGTAACTGTAAGATTTTTAAATGTGTAATGGCCAAAAAACTAACTCAAAATCAAATACACAGTAAACCCAAGGTATTGCTGGCAGCATAGGTCCACCCGAGTTGTATGGAGCTACATCACTGAGGCCTTTGTTTTGAACACAGAACGTGTGCATTTTGTACTGTACATGTTTTCTTGACGAACTCTGCCCCAAACACCTCAGCTCAGAATTCTGGATGCTTTGAAGTTTCTTTCCCTGAAACAAACTTTTCTGTTCCTATAGGAACATAACAGTTTAATTACGTAAAACAATTATGTAATTATTCATAATTATTATAAAAAAACATTTCCTACCATCTTTCTTCAGCATCTAATTATCAAATTAGTTGTGTGGTAGTTTGTAGGAGAATGGCCCCATAGGCTCTTATGTTTGAATACTTTGTTTCCAGTTGGTGGAATCATTTAGATCAGCAGATATGGCCTTGCTGGAAGAGCTGTGTCCCTGGGGTGGGTTTTGAGGTTTCAAAAGCCCTTGCAATCTCCAGTTAGTCCTGAAGCGTGCACACTCTCTCTGCCTTCTGCTTGCTGTCTCAACATGTAAACTCTGTTTCTGCCCCAGCACCATGCCATCAGGAAGTCATGAACTTTAGCTCTCTGGAACCAAGAACCCCCAAATTAAAAGCTGTTTTTGTTTTTCAAGACAGGGTTTCTCTGTGTACTCTTGGCTGTTCTGGAACTCATTCTATAGACCAGGCTGGCCAAGATCCCCCTACCTTTGCCTCCTGAGTGCTAGGATTAAAGGCATGAGCCACCACTGCCTAGCTAAATGAATTCTTTCATAAATTGCCTTGGTCATGGAGGTTTGTCACAGCAATAGAAAAATAAGACAAATACACTTTTGGATTGTATGAATTATAGCATGATTTTTAAAAACTGCTATTGTGAGGTCTAGAGAGATGGCTCAGCAGTTACCAGCACGTATTGTTCTTGCCGCAGACCAGGATCCCCAGCACCCTGTCAGGTAACTCACAACTACCTATAACTCTAGCTCCAGAGATCTGACACCTTCTTCTGGTCTCCATGGACACTTACACTATGTGCACTCACCCCAACACATACACATAATTAATGAATTTTTCATTAAAAATAATTATATATGTACACACACACACACACACACACACACAGGTTTATTGGTTTTTCAAGACAGAGCTTCTCTGTGTATAGCCCTGGCTGTTTTGGAACTCAATTTGTAGACCAGGCTGGTATCAACCTCAAAGATCCCCTTGCCTCTGCTTCCTGAGTGTTGGAATTGAAAGCCTGCACTACCATGCTCTGCTAATACAATATATTTTGATCAAGTTTTTCCCCTCTCCCAATTCTTCCCCACCTCCGTTTTTATTTTATCTTTAGATTTTTTTATTATTTGTATTATTTTGGTTTTTTGAGACAAGATTTCTCTTCGTAACCCTGGCTGTCCTGGAACTCACTCGGTAGACCAAGCTGATTTCAAACTAAGAGATCCACCTGCGATGCCTCCCAAGTGTGGACCACCACCGCACAGTTATAAACAGCATTTTAAAATTTAACCACAAGTACAAATTCATAAACTAAAGCTAGCATTTACTTTAAAAATTATAAGCACTATTCATTTGTATTTTAGGACACACGTGTTTTTTAGTTACAGATAATTGTCTAACTCTTCCCAGCCAGTTGTAGAATACCCAAATTGACAAGAAAAAAGTCAAATGTTTGCAATATAGATTTATTTCTAATAATCATGAAGATATGAAAAATAAACACCCCCAGATTGATTTTTAATGAAAACTTGGCTGCAGACAAGAAAGTAGCCAAGTTGACACTTGAATAAAAATATGCAACACTACAATAAACCAAAAGAGTAAATTAAATGTTCCTTGTATTCTTCAGATAAAGGGAGAAAAAAGCTCTGAGAAGTTGTTACTGTCAGTGAAAAGCACTTATTTGTATCCTACAAAGACTCTCACTAACTTGTAAAAACTCTGTGTGTTACATATACAGTGGGAATGTGTTATCATTAAAATGTTAGCAGTGGTTCCCATAAAGAGGTTTCATTCCTCAGGGCCTCTAAGAGAACAGGGCTAGTGATGAAATTCACGATTTCTTTACTGAAAGGTGCTCTTTCCAACAGAATTTCCAGAATTAATGTGACCAATGCCAGCAGCTTATTACCAGGTTTAAGGGAAGTCAAAGTTTGTAATTCAGCTAGATGACACAACCAGTATTCCTTACACCGGATAGTAGATTAGATAGTTTAAGATAAGTTTAGGGCTGGGCAGTGGTGGCTCACGTTTTTAATCCCAGCACTATGGAGGCAGAGGCAGGTGGATCTCTGGCCTACCAGCCTCCAAAGCCACAGAGAAACCCTGACTCGAAAAACAAAAAAACCAAAAGATATGTTTAGGAAGGTAGCATATTGGAAAACTGTTTTGTTGCCCCGTGGAAGGGCATACAAGCTGGGAAAACAGTGATCTTAACACCAATGAAATTTTTTTTTTCTCTCAAATGAAGGGTAATGGCTAAAAAGATCTCGTTAAGTTTTTGCATAGAAGCTGCTGGAGAAACTGTAGGGGAGCATGTTGACTCGTAGCATATGTTAAGGTTTGCAGAGACAAACAAACGTACTTTTTACTTGCTAAATGATCCACCAGGAGGCACCTGTAGCCAAAAGGCACGGAGTTGGTGTGCTTGGCAGTACTGTTGAGAACTGTGCTCTTGTCTTTGTTTCCAATACTGGCACATGGGATCTGCTTACAGAGCTTTGAAGCGTGCAAAGACGGCTCTCAAAATGGTCAAGGTCAAAGGTCAATGAAATTGAACAATAAAGTTATGTCTTTGATGGAGCATAAGCTTCATTTTTTTCATAATGATTTATGGCTCTCAAGACATTTGCCAGATTATTTTTAAATTCAATTATTTAAAAATGTTGCTTCAAGGAAGTAACTGAAATATATTTATGTTAAAAGATAAAATCCAAAGTTTTACTAGAAAAGCTAACATGAAAACAACAGGGTAAAAACTGGCTCTTTTGAGACATTTACATAGAGATGATTTTATAAATAAAAACAACCTCCTCAGGCAGGAAAGATGTCCTTCAAAAGGCCTAAAATCAGTTCCTCCACCCACCTAGTTCCAGGAGATCTGACAACTCTTCTGGCCCCTGAGAGCACTACACACCCTCCACACAGATATGCAGGCAAAACACCCATACATATAAATTAATTCTTTTCTGAAAATCTAATGGATCTTCCCCTCCCCAGAAAATCGAAAGTTCATATTCCTTCATACTCCAATATTAAATGTCAACAGGTTTACAAAGCACGATGTAAGTCCAAGGGATTCCCTACGTAGGAGTCACTAAGATAACATTTTAGCAGTTTATCACGATGAACAGAAACCATGGAAAGCAACATCCTCAATACCCTATTTCAATCTCCTACTTTATCTCTGAGACCTGGTTCAAATTCCATTTTACACACTATTTCTGAATGATCCAGTGTACAAGAAGAGTTGAGTGGGACTCAAGCAAACGTCTGTTAATTCTTAAAATTTTTGAACAGAGTCCCATTTTTCTAGAAATGGGAGAGAGAGAGAGAGAGAGAGAGAGAGAGAGAGAGAGAGAGAGAGAGAGAATTGATTGTGAGAGCACAGACGGTCTTCTACTTATTGTATAATGTTTGCCTTGGCTATCACTGGGATAGGAATTACACACTTCATCACACCACAGTAGCTATTTAGGGTTTGTTGCCATGGATTTGTCCCCTTCAAAATCTTTCAACTGTGTCACACAGAATGATGAAACCAGTTACATTTATTGGCACCACGTGTTTCTGTTTTGTTTTGGTAACAGACATACTTATCTTCATTAATGACAATGAAAATAACACGAAAACAGCTTTGAAACAAGAGTTAGGAGTTTGAAACCAGACTGAGGAAGCAGTACAGAATGAGCCGGACACATGAACTTTGGTTACCACCACCCTTCCACCACAGACCTCTGGAATGACCGCCAATGGAAAAATTACATTGTATCCAAAGGTTCAAGATGCACAGTCAAAGGTTACTGGACATATTGATACTAAGGACATGCTACCTTTCCTTTATCTTCTACAGGTCTTCTGGGGTTTGGATACATAGCTTCTAAACCAGTCTGGCCTAGAACTCCAGGCGATCTTTAGCCTGGATCCTAACCTCCAGGGGACTGGGATTACAGGGTGCTTCCCCAGCCTGGCTCCTCCTGTGGGTCGCCCAGCATGTTAGTCCAGCGTGCTCGTCATCAATAGTAAATGGTCCACAATAAATTTCCACGTTTCTCACCTTCCTGGAATCTTCTCTCATTTACTTGGATTTTTATCCCCCAAACTTACAATTCCTAAAGCACTCTCCCAAAACGATTTTCATCTTTGCAGTTTGAATAGAACAGATCAATAATGTCTTTCTAAATTCACCAAAGTGGACACATAAAGTTTTAAAAACAATTACCCAACTGGGTAAACAAGCAGACACTGTGTAAAACAACAACAACAAAAAACAAACAAAACAAAACCCCTCCTTCAATGTCTGAAGCATACTTTTAACTTTCAGGGGGTGGGGAAAGCCCTAAAACGATTTAACTAATTCAATTTTTTTTTTTTTTTTTTTTTTTTTTTTGCTTGTCCTTTCCAACTCAGGCTGACCTGCTTACTGAAGGCAAAGGGACACCCTGCCAATATCTGCCCTTCATGAGATGCCACCTGCAGGAATTGGAGACAGGACTCTTAACAAAAGGGCTACCGGGAGCTGGGATGAGCCCAGTGCATGGGCCACCTCTCCTCCTAGATACAATCGCCACGGTTGCACGTTCCCTCGGTGGAAGAAGAATCAAGTGTGGGCGGAGGGCGACACCCCGTAGCCCCGGGGTCCGCGGCCCGCCGCTCCCTGCCCAGCACCCACCACGCGCGCAGCCCCGGGGCGGAGGAAGCAGCGCCCAGACGGAAGCGTTCCCCGAGGGTGAAAGGTCACCGTCCCCGCCCGGGCTCCCGCAGCTTCGGGCGGACCGCTACCTCCCGGCACTCGGGGAACCGGGCGCTCGGACACTCGGGCGCTCGGCCCCCCGGGCCGCGACGCTTGGCGGTTGGGCCGTCCCGCACTCGACTTACCCTTCCCGCCGCGGCGGCCGCTGGGCTGGAGAGAGCTGACGCGAGGGTAGCCGAGGCCAAGGGGACAAGGGGAGCTTTCTGGGTTTGTGGATTTGGGGGTGGGGGTCAGAGTTCGTGACCCCTCCCTCGGCTCGGCGGGGGGGGGTGCGCTCGGCGCCTGCGCGTTAGCGCGGTGGCGAAGCGGCCAGCGGCGGTGACGTTCCCTGGGTGAAGCCGAAGGCCCCGGAGTCCAGCGGCGGTTCTGGAAGTCGATTGCCCCCTGCAGGTGCGGAGGGAGACCGCCGCCTCCGCCGCCGCGTGTCGGTCAGATGTCCTGCGAGTTGAGCATCAAGTTCTTAGACCTGCAACTTGCGCCGGGGCCTCCGAGGGCACTTGCAGTCAGTGTGCACATACCCAAACATGCATAATCAGAAATCAACGACAACCGAGGGCTGGGTGATGACTCGATGGTTAAGAGTACTTGTTGCTCCTCCAGAGATCTCGGTTTGATTCCCAGTACCCACAGGACCGACCGGTCAGAACCTTCTGTAACTCCGGTTCCATTGGATTTGGTGCCCCCTTCTGGTGCACCAACATACGTCCAGGCCCAACACCCTACACATAAAGTAAAAATCTTAAAAAAAAGAAATTCGAAAGTCTTTTGAAACCCGACCTGTTGGAAACCCAGACTTGATTTTTAACACGTGGTCCTCCCACCTTCCTCTCCAGTGCTGTAGGATTTTTTTTTTTTAAAGTTTTATTGATTTGGGTGTTTTACCTGAACCTTACGCCTGTGCATCCATCACAAGTGTGCCTGGTGCTGGTGGAGGCCATCAAATCCTCTGGATCTGAAGTTACAGATAGTTGTGAGTGGCCACATGGGTACTGGGAATTGCCAGTGCTCTTAATTGTTGAGCCATCTCTCCAGCCCCTTAAAGGAAGTTTTGAGTAACAGTAAACAACCTAATCAGTTTGGGATAGATGTCTTTGATCTCTGCAAAACTGGACTTGGTTTTATAGGCACTCTCATAGATTATAGTGTGTTAAGGAGTCTGGGTAGAACCCAATCACATACAACTTCCCTGCAATATGAGAACAAGCGGAGGCAAAATCACGTCAAATTGTACTTGGGTGTGAAGGAGCCAGTTGCCCATTTCGGCAGCCATAATGGCCGAACACATGCTTGCTATAACCTTGCCTTGGTCACTTAGAGGTCAGATGCCTGCCTCGTGGCAAGGAACCAATCAGAAGTTAGCTGGTGGTGCTATGCTTAATGGCTCTAGGTGTGCTTTACAGACAACCACACAGCAATGACACACAGAGCATAGCAACCACCTGGGAGGGCCTATGGGCCTTAACCAGTTGACCAATCAACAAAGGGCAAACCCTCCAAGCCTGGAGGCACACCAATCCGGAGCCTGTGCATACCCCTAGACACTCCCCTTATGCTGCCCTATAAAGATCTGTACGCAGCGGCTTCAAACTGTCTTTGCTAGCCATCTGACATGGCGGGTGGATCAAAGACCCGAGCTAACATGGGGTTAGCTCGTTAAACAACAATAAAGCCTCATGCAATTTGCATCAAGCTTTCACCTCCATTCTGTGATTGGGGTGGCCGAGGTCCTGGGCTAAGATCCTGGAAGCCTGAGCTTTCCGGGGGTCTTACAGGTGCTTTTAGTAAAGAGCAAGAATGCAATGCAACTGTGTGTTACATTCTTAAAGGCTCCTTTTTGTTCATTTTGCTAGGCTATATATCCCCAGATATTTAACAGCTGCTGATGGTCAGTAAAGATTTGCAAAACGGAAGGTCACTGATGGGCCATCATGTCCTAACGGGTCACCTTTGACAGGAATCTCCGACCTGCATTCTAAGTAGTGTGTGGTTCAGACTGTAAGAGTTGATCTGGACTCTTCTCTTGCTGGCAACTCTGTCTTTCTCTTTTCTCTCTCCTTATTCCCTTACCTTCCACCTTTCGGTGGGGTGGGGATGATCTGGAAATTTTCTTTGCATCTAGATAAGCCCTGTAGAAAAGCAGCCAGATTCAGAGTAGAAACCCAAGTTGGAGGTGGGGGCACATGAAAACTTTGGTGAACCAGGCAGAACAATTGTCTCCTATGTTCCCTCATGCCTATAATCCCAGTACTTGGGAGGCAGAGGCTGTAGGAAGAGGAGCTTAAAGCCATCCATGGCTGTACAGTTTGAAGGTAGCCTGGGCTACGCCTCTTTTTAAAAAAAAGTGCTGCCATTTCCTGTTGGAAGTAAGTATTTAGACATAGGAAAGGGACATGCACCCTTCCCTAGCCATTAGAACTATGTTTCATACTTAGCTCTCTGAAAGTCTACCTCTACCTTTTAGTGTTGTTTGGTTTGGCCACAATGCTATAAAGCAGCTCTTTCAATAACCTTAAGCTTGTCCCAAATGTGTACACTATGAAAGCAAACTGGGTTCAAGGGAAAGAGAGTCCTTACCATGTTTTTTTGTTTGTTTGTTTTTTTCTCAGTGCTTAATACACATTGCCAAGGCCGGGCGTTGGTGGCGCACGCCTTTAATTCCAGCACTCGGGAGGCAGAGGCAGGAGGATCTCTGTGAATTCGAGGCCAGTCTGGTCTTCAGAGCGAGTGCCAGGATAGGCTCCAAAGCTATACAGAGAAACCCTGTCTCGAAAAAACCAAAAAACCCAAACAAAGAAACAAACAAAAAAAAAAAACCACATGCTCAAAGGGATGTTTCTCCAGTTAATGTACTTATGTCACAGGAAGTTGATGTTTTAAAGCTTAAAGCTGGGGCTGGGCACAGTGGCTCATACTTGTAATACTGCTTTGTAGGCTGAGGCAGGAAGACTGCTCTCAATATTAGGCCAGCCTGACTACAGGGTGAGACCCTGTCTCAAAACTAACAAAACAAATAAATCAGTCTTGGAAACATAAACCACTTCAGGAACATCACTGTAGATGACATGTCTCCCTTGGTCATATATTAGCAAAGGGAGGGTGGTGGTGGCAGAGAGGTTCATCTTTAAGGTATGTTTTAAAAGGCTTCACCAAAGCTGGGCTTGGCAGTACATGCCTATATCCCAGTTACTAAAGAGGCTGAGGTGGAAGGCCTGAAAACTGAAGGCCAATTAGGATGAAATGGTGTCAAAAAAAAAAAAAAAAGTAAAAAAACAAAAACTCTAATAAAGGACCCCACACCAGCAGCAGGCATTATAGTAAATTTATTTTGTACAAATTATAATACATATTAACATTATTTACAATGCTATTTTTATTTATAAATGATCTTTATATGAACAATAAGATACAAACCATTATCACTGTAAGTAAAAAAGTACTGAGAAAAACATTAGAAGGCATTTTAAAAAGTATTGTGAAACTGGTTCACAGAGGCAGCCAAGTAACTCCAGGAAAGGGAATGCTGTCTCCCTCCACTCCTCACCCCAAAGGAAAAAAAAATATTTTTATATTTAGTTTTTAAAAAAGCTCCTGTTACCTTTATATTCTTTTTTTCTAGCAGTCAAGTTAGAACTACTACCATCTCTGCAGAGTAGTACATAAACTTGCTTTCCTTCTTAAGAGTCTTTCCTAGAAGTAACTAACCTTTCTGACAAGGGAAAAACACTACAGATTGTCATTTAGAAACTAACGATAAAGGTGGTGTAGGCACCAGAGTATGTGGGCTGAAGATACTTTTTCAGGACCCATAGAATATGCGTAACAGGCAAACATTTATCTACTGCATGTAAGACATTCTCATTAGATGTGGCAAATCTCCAGTGAACAAGGTCAGCTGTTTTCAAGAACAGAATGTGTAAGAACGCTGCAAGTCTGTTTATGAACTGAAGATTGCAGAGCACAGGGAAGAGCCCATCTAAAGGAGGGGGTGGAGAAAAGCATCCCATCACTGTGAAGTGTCAGATAGCAAGGAAGCAGAGCTGTGCTGATTGACATGAGAACAAAGGAAACTATGAACACAGAAAGGCTGAAGTGGGTTCATGTGGAGTGTATGGGATCGGAGGAATTGTTCCGTGCCAAACTGGGAATGCCACTGAGGTCTACAGGAACAGGAATTAAATTAGAATTCTGCTTCAGGCAGATGGCTCTGGCAAAGTTTTAGAACAGACCACACAAAGGAGGCATTGAAATCAGAAAAGAAAATGTTTTTCTAGATAAGGGATCGAACCCTAAGCCTCATACATAGGAGGCAAGTGGTGTGCCACTGTACTGGGCCCCCAGCTCAGAGGGAAGACTGTAGCAGCCATAAAGGGATATAACAGCAGGGAAAAGAGGCTGGAAGGAACATGAAGGATTTAAGAGTCAGATTATAGAGCCCCATATGGTGTCCTTTTATTGCAGAAGAAAACAGGCTTGAACGGGAAGAAAGCTGAGTGTTAGTCATGCCACTGATGTGGCCTTGCAGGATGGTAAGGAGAGTGGGCATAAGAAGTGAGTTAGAATACGGCTTGTGAGAGTATTTCAGCGGTAAGGAGTCTTGTTACTGAGGCAGGGACACACTGAGAATGAGGCAGAGAAGCTGTCTTGACTCAAAACACCTTGGGAATCCTGTCCTCACTGTTTTCAATTAAATATCTGAAGATCCAGGAGAAATGGATAAAAGAAACATAGTATCTATCTTTAAGGATCTTACAGTACAATGACATAGGATTTACCTCTGGAAATTCCAGCAATTTGATTACAATGAGCACAGTGGAAGCACAATCAAGACATACCCCCATAGGCTTGATGACTACATTAGGCTCTTAAACTGTAGGTTCCTCCACTCCTACAGGGCCTTCTATATATTCTGCTAAGAAAAGCATACTTTAAAGTTGCTGTCCTCTGACTTCATTTTTTTTTAAATGTCAGTAAATAAAGAATCAAGTTTCTTATTGGAGAAAACTAGGGCAGTTGGGGAAATCAGAATGATACTGCTCACATCAGAAAATGGAAAGAGGTTCAGAAACATGGGATAATATAAAGAATGGCCCTTTTCATTCTCTTAGGACATTGTGTGTGTGTGTGTGGGGGGGTGTCTTCTGCATTTAGCTGCTGAGGACAGAGGAAGCATACTGCTTAGGGGTACCGAGAATATCACCTCTCCTAGCTCAGCCTGCCATCTTGTCTAGGCTACTTTCTAGCTGAGCTTGGGAGCCCTGAGCAAGGTTTGACAACAGCACATGTATGTGGAATAAGCAACATTCCTGGGATCCAGATCAGATGTTCCCCACATCCAGACTGCACTGGTATTGTTCACCCTTAAATGTTAGCAATGGAGGTAGCTCATGGGTACAGTGCCTGCCTAGAGACCCTGGGTTCAGTAATGTTTTTAAAAATACTTTTATAGCAAATCATAAATACATTCTTGTTTGCCACTGAATGAGCCAGGTTAAATAAATTATTGACCATATTTACTAGGTTATGAAAGGATCGGGGAGGAACAGGAATGCATTTAGAATGTTTTTATTAGGGGGCACTATCTGATAACTTGTATACTGTCTTCTCTAAAACTTTCTATAAGACTAAGCAATTAGCAATTATAATCAGATAAAAATTTCATCACATAAGAATTACCTTGTTCGATAACTCCTCTCTATATACATTTAGATTTTGAATTGTTTTTTTTATTCAGAATACTGACTTTTTGAAATTTATGAGCAAATCTTAAAGAGGTTGAGAATTCAAAAGAGGACCAAAGGTAGAAATATAAAGTATAAATAACCCTGGCCTCCAAAGGGATACACTACACACATTACACAGATATTTACATTTATGTGACCCAATTAAATAGAGTGACAAAGAACAGGTTGACCTGTGGCAAGGAAGGTTGCATGTGGGGTTATGTGAGACTGCACAGGGCTTCAAATTATGCCACAGCCAGAGACAGCCACGAAAAACTACATTACCTCAGGTCTAGATTATCTGTAGTAAATGGCATTCAAAAGGCCCCATGAATGTGTTCAAGATGAAAAAATAGTAATCAGGATATAATTCTCAATGACTGACATCACAATAAGTTAATGATCTATATAAAGAAGCAGAAATCTCTTGCATCTTTTAAAATAATATTCTGTGGATAACCTTGCCTTTTAGCTGATAGTTTAAACTCACACTCAACAGAATAGTTGAACACCGAAACAATTTTAAATATGTTAGCTTCATTCTTCTGTTGCTAATCAACAATTTTATGTGTAAGGGGGTTTACATGCTAAATAGTAAGTGTGACAGAATTAAGAATATGAACCCTAGCTGGGCAGTGCTGGTGCACACCTTTAATGCCAGCACTCCCAGAGGCAGAGGCAGGTGGATCTCTGTGAGTTCGAGGCCAGAGTGAGTTCCAGGACAGCTACTACTGTTATACAAAAAGAATATGGACCTTTCCTAATGAGGGATACTGACTGGTAACCCAGTATATGTGAGCTGAGGCAGGATGATGGATGAGAGCAGCCTGGGCTACACAGAAAGATTGGGTCTCAAAGGAGACAGAGGGTGAGAGGAAGAGTAAATTTTAAAAGTCAAGGAAACAAATTAAAGTAGCATAAAATTTCCTTTAAAAATGTGATGGTGATTTCAGACCACTTTTAAATACATGTTGCAGAAAACATGACATCCTTTTAGATATAAATACCAACAATGACTTGGGTTCCAAACTCCTAAGAATAGTAAGGGATATTGGGTAACACATTAGCTGCCATATTCTGTTTTAAATCACTGAGCTTGCTGGCACACATATGTAATTCCTGAACTTGAGAAGTCAAGCAGGTGAGTTCCAGGCTAGCATGGGTTAGATAATGAGTTCTGGACCAGCCTGGACTCCAGAGTGAGCCTCTGTCTCAGGAAACTAAGAAAAAAAAATCACATTTATACCAAACTGGCAGTTTTAAATACAGACTGGGTGTGGTCTGTATTTAAATGCAGATGTGTTGGTGCAGGTCTTTAGGTCCAGGCACTCAGAAGCTGAGGCAGAAGACTATAGCTCAAGGTTTGCCTGAGCTACATAGTTAGTTCAAGGCCAGCCTGGCAATTAGCAAGATCCTATGGGACTGAGAGGGGGGTGAGGCTGGGGACACAGTTATCAGTACAGACTGCTGGGATTTCACTTCACAGTTGCTGAGGTAGAAGCTGGCTATGTGGATCTCTATTGCAATATAAAATAATTTCATCTAGGTTTAGTGATTCAAAAATATGCATTTTCACCAGCAATTTTGTAATTATAATTTCTATACCAATCATTGTATGGAAATGTGCTCCTTAATGTGTGTTTTATTTGCAGATTTAAAAATAGTGAAGGTGTCATGATGTAAGGTAGAGACAATAGTGTGGACAATAATAGTGTACAGCATACAGTATTAAGGTAAGTTTGCATCTCTAAACAGTACTTTAGAATTCAGTGAGTCTCAGAAACAATTTTGACCAGCAAGTAAACATCAACATTTTAATAAATAACATACATGAAAAACATTTTTAAGAACTGTATATACCTAGCAAAACAGTTTATCTTCTAATGGCTGTGGCTGGATTTATCTTGGCAGTGTTCATTTTTACACGCCTTCGAAATAGCTTTTACTCCATTCGGCTGAGCTGAGCCTCCACCTTGTCGGAATCGCAGGGGAAATGAAGCCAATACTGCTACAATATTGTGCCTTCCTGAAATGCTTCTATCCACCTGGTGATGAGAGATACCTGTTAGACTTCTGAACTCCCAAAATGTGACACCTATGAGTATGACACAGTTGCTGATTTAGGATCTTTCCTATGGCACACAGGAAGCTCCCCTTTATTTGGTAATTTCATCCAACATTTGGCCTGGAAAGTGTGTTCTTAGTGGCATCACTACTTCATGTGTAAATGTCTAAAACCTCCTAGGATGAAAGCACAGTGGGTAAAGCCGCTTGCCACCAAGCCTGACAACCTGAGTTTCGTCCCTGGGACCTACATGAAGGAAGGTGAGAACTTGTTCCTGCATGTTATCCTCTGACCTCCACACTAACCACCAGCCCACAGTAAAGAAATAAAGAAATGTTAAGAGTGTGTGTGTGTGTGTGTGTGTGTGTGTGTGTGTGTGTGTGTATGTATGTATGTATGTATGTATGTATGTATGTATGTATGTGTGTTTACTTGGCTTTGGAAGAGATATGTCAACAAAGGCCCTTATTACAATTCCTTTCCTCTCTTTCTGATGTTCTGACTCAGTGAGTTTTGCTATGGACCTGTTTTTTTTCCTTAAGTCTACCAACCAAAATCCCCTTGTATGTCCCCTAAACCAATTTTGTTCCAAATTTCTCAACAAAAAGGAACTGATCCAGCATTTGGTCTATTCTAAGATCAAGAATTTACATACACTACAAAGTTTTCCAAAATTTCATTGAAGTCATCACAAAATCTTGAGTCTCAAAGTCTCGTCTGGCAAGAAAGACGCAGCTGCAGTCACTCGGAATATGCTTGTGCTATCTGCATTTGCTCTTTGTTATTTTGGACTCCCCGAAACCTACTCCACTCTGACACCCTGACACTTACTGACAAATGATTCTTACAGTAAGAATCATCTTACATAAGAAAGGACTGGAGCAAGCTATGAACATCTGAAATCACCTAAACCTCAGACTAGCCCCTAAGACACTCAGCTCAAATTTCAAGGACAGAATTTCCAAAATTTCAAATTTTAGGTGCAAACAGCTTATGCTATACTACAACAGAACACTTTAAAGAAGTCCCACAGGGGCTGAAGAGATGCTCAATACCTAAGAGCACTGACTGCTCTAGAGGAGCCAGGTTCGGCTCCTCCTACCCACATGGTGGCTCAACAATCTGTATGTAACTCCTGATCATCCCTTCTGACCTCCACCAAGCACCAGGCACACATGTGGTGCAGACATACATGCAGGCAAACACCCAAACACACACACACACACACACACACACACACACATCAAACCTAATAAAACCTTGTCACAAACAAGCAATTTAATTCTTATTAAGGAGTTATTTGGATAAACAGCTGTACATTGCTGCATAACCTAAAGCTGATAGGTGCAGGGGGAGTTTTTCAGAGTGTAGTATTGTGCCTGGCTGATACTCAGATAGATATGCAATTCTAGCACATTAACTCTTAACTGCCTAAAAAACTGCCCACCCTATTTATCCTCAAAGTGCTGCCTTGTATCCCAAGCACTTAACTTTGAAGCCTGCTGAGAGAAATGAACACAGTGGTGTGCTCCTTAGGGTGGTATCAATCAAATGAGAGAGCTCAGCTGAGCTATGTGCTCAGAGGGCCTTCACCTCACAGGCACACACCTGTAGGTTAAACAGTCTCCCGACACCTCAAGATTCCTGCTGGGATTTTGAGGAGATTGCTCTGGTCTTGACCATCTAAAATGATATCTGTTCCCTTCTACTTAGCCCCTGGAAACAGCCTATGAGCCTCTTATTGTGTTTGATTTTACTGCACAGTAGTAAGTTAGCCAGTAGTTATTTTGTTTGTTTTTAAGTTCTGCTGGTCCACAGAACAGGTGGATAGGGGAATTCTGCCCTCCCTGAAGGCCAGGCAGGGCTCTGCCTGCACTTCTGCTTCCCTCAGAGCACAGCTTCAAGCACTTCCTCCCAGGTCAAGCGCAGATACACACTATGGACAAGATTACCCATTATTTTCATCTTCTGTTTAGGTTAAATCTTTCTAACTGGGATCTTTAATTTAAACTGCTCCCTGTGCTTTTAAAATGCCATTTAAGACAACACCTAGCAGTCCCCCGTGGCAAAGGGAAATCTGCACCACTTACTTTTGAGTGGAGTGGGCATCATCCGCCTTAAACACATAAAACACCATGCCTTTGTGGAGTAGCTGGAACACTTTCGACTCAGAGTTCTCATCTTTGACTTGAGTGACGGTAAATCCCAATAAAGGCTGACTCTCCAAAGCTGCCACATCCTAATTTAAGACAGACAAGGGAGGACAGGAATTACTTCTTAGGCTAAGAAGTAATTCAGGTTTGCAAAGTTGATCTCTATAGCTCAATTTAAGGCACAACACAGTGATTCTAACAGCTTATTTTTACTTAATCAGCAGTGAGCCACCTACTCACCACCTGCCAGGTTTCAACAAGTTTATACCCACTGAATTTCCCATTGTTTTCACTGTAGCCAAGGAAAGCAGGCGATTACCTTATTTTCAGTTTATGGATGGAGACACCAAATGCTTAGAGTAGTAGGTTACTTTACCCAGACAGAGCCCATGGAGGAACTCTGGGACTTGGATTAGTTGTTTGTTGAGACATGGTCTCACTCTATAGCCCAAGCAGACCTAACAGTGATTTTCCTGCTTGGATTCTCCAAAGGTTTTGTTTTTCCCTACCCCACCGCTTTTTTGTTTGTTGATCTCACCATGTAACCCTGGCTGGCCTGGAACTCACCAAGAACCACCTGCCTCTGCCTCGAAGTGCTGGAATTAAAGGCAAGTGCCACCATTCCTGGTCCTCCCTTCCTTCATTCTAGAGTCGAGTGTAACCCAAAGGTGGCCTCAAACTCCTCAGTTATGACTGAGGCTGACCTTGAACTCTTGAGTCTCTCTGACTTGTACCATCCAACTGCAAGACTGTAGGCATGTGGTACCACACCCTGCTTCCCTAGAGGCCTTCTCAGGCTGCTGGAACACAGATCAGGGCAGCTAGAGACAGCTGACAACAAAGCTTATCTTATTTGTGCTGATGCCTGACCAGTACAAGCTGGAGACACCAACAGAGAGGCTGGGAGAGTGGCAATCCCTGTCTTGTGTAAAGCAGCAGTCACACGGCAACAGAAATACCTGCATTTTAGTACTCTTCAAAATTCCTAACACTGGAGTAAGATAAGAGCTCATGGAAAAGAAGAAAACACTGTTCACATTTAAAGCACTAGTAACAGGACAGGCATGGCGGCTCATATCTGTAATCCCAGCACTGCAGAGGTTGAGGCAGAAGGATGACTGAGTTTGAGGACAGACAACCTGGGCTAAATGGTGAGTTATAAACCAAGCTGGGCTATTTGGTGAGTCACAGTCTCAAAAAAAAACCAAAGACAGAAAATGAGCACTGCCAACCCATGTCTAAAACAGCACTTGCTTGGCATGCCCAGGCCCCGTGTACACCCTCAGCTCTGCAAAACCCTGCATCAGTCCCCACAGAACTAAAACAAGACCCGAAAGTCACCCTCAAGCGTCCATCTTACCTCACTTGCAGCATATGTATAGAGTACTTTGTTTTTGATGACAAACCATAAGTGTTTCCATGGCTTTTTGCTGCCCTTGGATCTGTAAAGGTAGCCACTCATAGTAGAGTCTTCTGTGTTTGCTGACACCTGGAAAAGGAAGTTCCACAGGTAGTTCTGTGGTTCATAGACCACTTCTCAGCAACAACAAACAACACAAGAAGGCTGAGTGAGTTACTTGCAACCACTAGCTGTTGAAAGCAATAACCGTAACATTTCAGAAGACACTGGGTGTTCTCTGTAATGGGGGAAAGGGTGCAGTAAAGGGTGCCCACATGACTGCCCCATGATATTGGTTAAGGTTTTTATTGTAGATGTAAGAACAGCCAGGGGCAACTGGAAGAGTTCAGAGCAGACACAGAAGGAGACTGATGCTACTTGCTAGAGGGAGGAGAAGAGGGGGTGGGGGAGTTGGAGGGTGAGGGGTGGTGAATAGAGAACATAGTGAGAACGTGGAGTTACAGGAAGCCTATGGGCTGGAGGGGGTTTAGGGTTAGGTGAGGAGGTAGGAAGGGCTAGGACTCTAGCACAGACTCTGAAATGTGTAACAGGTACTGAGGAAGCCTGGAGGCTAGCCTGATAGGCACTGGATAGCCACATAACCCTTTGCCCAGAGGTAAGATAGGAACCAGTTTCACAAGTTCCTTAGGAATACTGCCTTTTTTTTTAAATTTTATTTATTTATTATGTATACAACATTCTGCTTCCGTGTATATCTGCACACCAGAAGAGGGCACCAGATCTCATAAAGGATGGTTGTGAGCCACCATGTAGTTGCTGGGAATTGAACTCAGGACCTCTGGAAGAGCAGTCAGTACTCTTAACCTCTGAGCCATCTCTCCAGCCCAGGAATACTGTCTTTTATCTGTCCTATAGTCCAGGTTGAGCCCATTTTTGGATTTTGGACTGCCTCTTGGAGTTTGGAGAACTGGAATTTCCTGTGGACCTGACATTCCCAAGTCTATATCCTACAGTCTGAAGTCTGTCAGCATGGGTATGAAAATCCTTCCTTTTGAGATGATCCCAGAGCTAGGCCTGGCTTGCCCATTCCTGCACGGGCTTCTGTCTCTGCGGGCTCAGCTGTGTTCTTTGGTTTGTCAGAATAGAAATAATCCAAAGCCTACCAAATGTTTTTCTCGGGCTGCATTTTTGGGGGGGCACATATATTTGTATCTGTTGCTCAGGTCTACATGGCAAGCTCCAGGCAAGCCAAGGAACAACTGAGGAGAAGGGTAGGGGATAGAGAGTGAGTTAGTTCTTTCCTCCTACCACATGGGTCACCCACAGGGTTAAACTCTGGCTGTTAGGGGATTAAACTAGGGCTGTTAGGACTGACATTGAACTCAAGGTATAAGGTTTGGCAGCAAGTGCCTTTACCCACTGAGCAATCTGACTGGTCCATATTCCTCTTTTAGAATTAATTTATGTGCCCCACAAAAAAAATCAGTCAGTACTGACTATGAATATCCCTCTATTATCTTTTCAAAAGTAAAATTCACATTAACCAACTTAATTACCTGGTTCATAAAACTTGTATCACTTTTTGCTTATGTCTGAGTTCTTAAGACAGGATCTCATATAACTTTAGCTAACCTTAAACTTACTGTGTAGCTGAGGGTGACCTTGAACTCCTGATCTCTCTGCCCATCCGTACCTCTTCATTTCAAAGATAGGCCTTGCTATGTTGCCTAGCATGGCCCTGAGCCCCTAGGCTCAAGTGATCCCCCTAGACCAGTCTACAGAATAGCTAAGGCTACAGGCATGTAAACCATCATGCTTAACAAGGATTTCAAAGTTAGGAATTTAGATCCAGAAATTGAAGGATTAAAGAAATAGTTCATAGACATTCCCTAAATTGGCCTAAACTGTTTTGTATCTAACCAAACCAAACAAGTAAAGATCAGTAAAAGCTGGTGAAATGGCCAGAAGGAGTTTGTACATTTCCCTTTTAAAATGATGTCTATGTCTACTTTCTATGACTGCAATAAATGTTCTCCAAAGCTTTCTGTAGCCATTCTGTCAACCACTCAGGCCATGAAAAAGATAAAGACTGCAAGGCATCTGCATACCCAGAGTGTTAAAATTCAAGCCCTAATAGTAATGGATAGTGACACCCTCCTTTATGGAACTCAGCCTTGTCAAGTTTAATGAAAGCACTCACTTCTTTGAGAGCAGCTGGGATTTTTTTCTGTTTCCTCCCGGATGGGATACTGTGCAAGACTGACGACAAGGCACTTGAAGGAGACTTGTGATTCCCAGGAGATCCAATCCTAGGAGGCAGCTGGTGATCTGTAACAGAGCAGGTGTGCTCATGCAGTAAGCATGCATTGCCACTAAAACCAGTAAACAACGATGTACAAAATACCCATGAAAGGGCTGTCAGGAGACGAAGGTGGAAGCAAGAACTGAGCAGGAGTTGAGCTGATTATATAAAAATTTTTAAACTACAAACCATAAGAAAAGACCACATTTCTGAGTCTTAAGAATTCTGACAGGAACACTGCTCAGTGATAGGGTGCCTGCTTTGTATGTACAAAAGGTTCAATCCTTGGTACCAAAACATAAAGTAAACATTCTTTGTGATGGACATGGACATGGTGGCGCATGTCTGTCACCCACAGGTAGGAGGATTGGGAGTTCAAGGTCCATCCCTTCTTACCATAGACTCTATTTCAATAAGTCATAAATAAATAAATAAATAGATAAATAAATTCTCAAACATACAAGTATGCCATTAATTTTACAAACTTCCCTACTGACTTAAAGAGGTTAATATAGACAATGGAAGAGACGTATGAACCAGAAAATCTGCTTGTTGAATCATGATGCTAGGGGAAATAACAGGGTGGGGGTGGCTATAAGTAACCTGGAATTTGGGGGTGGATACGAACAGTTTGGCCTCATGATAATCTTCCTGCTTCAGCCTCCCACGTGCTGGCATTATAAGTGTGAGCCGCATTGCCTGGCTCTAAATCAATCATTTTCTGTTTCATAAAAATCAAGAGTTTCTGAAATAAAACTGACAAGATCTACTGACCAAGTAGAGGTGGGTGATGAGAGATGACTGTTAACATTTCACATTGGTATACGCAAAGAACAAAGAAGGGAATAGAAAGGCTGACAAAGAAGAGACGGGTATGTCTTCAAAAACTTATACAAACAATAACTACTGACTTATAAAAACAGGATTCTAAAATAGCATGACATCTAGTTTTATAGCTGGTTTTCATGGTTATAAAGGATGATGATTTTATAATTTAGATCCTATAGATTTCAGAAACTTAAAATATAGATTTGAGCAGTCCTCTCAGCTGAGTTTACTTTGCCTGTGCGCAAATAATGCTTGCAGATACTAAGAAGGCAGATACAAAATACCTTGTATTTATTCAAAGAGTCACACCTGCCAAGAGTGGTGGCAACATTTGGAAGCTGGGAGTGCTAGGCTAATAATCTGAATTACAAAGAGAAACTATCTCAATAAATAAATAAGTAAATAAAAATGCACAGAAAAATCTCCTAATCAATCATTTAATGAAGCAGAAGTCACCAACAAAGTGCCAGCTTGTATGTTCCCACACTGAATGACTCTGCAGATAAAAATATTTGGGGGATTAAGACTGTAGCTCTGTGGTACAGCACACACCTCACATGTGCAAAACTGTGGGTTTGATCCCTTGAACTCGACGGGGTATAGTGGACAAAGGAAAGAAAATCTATCTCAAAATGAAAAACAAGGGCTAGAGAAATGGCCCAATGGTTAAGGCCACCTGCAGTTCTTGCAGAGGACCCAGTTCGACTCCCAGCATCCACATGGCAGCACATGACAATTCCTAACAGCAGTCCCAGGGGATCCTATACCCGCTTCTGACCTGAGGACTCCACACATCCATGTGCTCACTATCTTCCTTCTGGAAAAACACTCATACACAAAAATAAATAAATCTAAAAGAATGTAAGTGAAAAATAGTAAGTGGAAATTTTGAAATTGGTCACAAATTAAAGTTTACCTTTTAACTGTGTTAAGCATTTCATTCAGTAACAATTCAGCATTTTATTTATTTATTTATGGTTTTTCGAGACAGGGTTTCTTTGTGGCTTTGGCGCCTGTCCTGGAAGTAGTTCTTGTACACCAGGCTAGTCTCTAACTCACAGAGATCTGCCTGCCTCTGCCTCCAGAGTGCTGGGATTAAAGGCGTGCGCCACCACCGCCTGGCTCAATTCAGTATTTTCCTAGCAAAACCATTTCACATTGTTAAACAAACAAACAAACAAAAAAAAAAAAAACAAAGAAAAAGGACAAGTCTAATTTCTCTTAGAATCACCATAAAACTCAAGTTAGAGAAGACTAGGAATTAAGACAAGTTCAGCAATCATGCTTCATACCCAACATGTTTTTAGGAGGTTGAAAGCATCTGAGGGAGAGACTTTGGTTAAATGTTTATTTTTATGTTACCTAATTTCTGTAGTTCTTGGAAGCAGTGTTCACATACTCTTGCCAGTTGCCTTTTCAGGTAATCTAAGCCATATTTATTTGATGAGCAAGCTTGGCACACAATCTGAAAACACATTGCAATTATTTCATTCAGAAAAACTTTTGATTACAAGCCGTAAAAAGGCTACAGTTTATAGCAGTGTTCATTCATCAAAAAAGTTTGACAAGGACTGAATCTCACTTATCTCATGGCATTCTGGCATGTAGTGAGCTAACTTAAAGACCACATACAAAGAGGAGCTGCACATAAACCCTGAGTGCTTGTTTTATAAACAATGTGTTCAGCAGAGCTAACTCATGCAAACCTCCAGAACACTGCCTAGTGTGCAGGAACGTCTGTCAGTCTCACTGGTACCCCTGATCCTAAGTGTCGTCCCTGCCACAGCAACAACTCTCTGAGACTCTACCAGGTTATGGGCCGAGCTGCATCCTTGAAGGAGTTCTCTCTTACTAAGCTCATCCTGCTAAAGGAACCATGAAAGCTCATACTTCTGTGTGGATTGGAAATATCTTCCAAGGGTACTTGTGAAAGTCCCCACTTCGGCACTAGTAGGAGGTGGCACAAACTTTAAAAGGTCACTAGGGTGGGTACCTTCAAAGAGGATTGTGGGGTCATTTCTTCCACTTTTTTTACTCTTACCAATTGAGTACATGACTTTGCCCACTACATTCTCTCCACATGACATGGTGCCTTCACCCCAATGCTACAGGCCAAGACAATGCACTAAAGTCCAAAATTGCAAGCTAAAGTAAATCTTTACTCTTTATAAATTGATTAACTGGGCCAGGTGTGATGACACCTTTAATCCCAGCATCCAGGAGGAAGAGGCATGTGGAGCTCTGTGAGTTCAATCAAGGTCAGACTAGTTTACATAGAGAGCTCCAGGACAGCAAAAATATAGGGTCCTTCCTACTGATCCTTGTCTACATGAGGTGGCTAAAAAACTAAGTTGTAATATGAGTAAGAGTCTATAGAGTTGGGGGTTGTTTTGTGTTTTAAAACAAAAAAGGTTGGCCTTGAACTTGCTTTATCCTTTTGAGGGCTGGGACTTGCAGGCATGTGCCACCATGCCTGGATTAGCTTTCATTTTTGAATATAGGTTCTTTATGGCTGCAGTAATACCGTAACAGTGGGTAGAGAGTGGAGGAAGGAAAGTCTCCAACAATGTTCCCTACTCCAACCCAGACTATACAGATAAGCTAACATCTGTGGTTTTCACTGCTATTGCTTTTCTGTTTCATATACTACAATGACTTCCGAGAGAATATTCCTCACAGTGACTAGCCCAGAGACACAGAAATCACAACAGGGATAGATACTGTCCCTTCTGACCTTTCCACAGGCCCTGCAGTGATGTCTTCTCCAGGTCAGAGTAAATTCACTTGTGCAAATCATACACATGGTGGCTCTGGTATCAGGAATCCAGATGGGAGCCTTTGACCCAAGAGGACTAACTTCCTCTTTCTTTTCTGAGTCCTGTGGAAGAAGAATGACTTCTGATTACTTGGTGCACACTGCCTGTGATGGAACCAAGTCTTAGTAAATCCTCTTTTGGCAAAAGTATCTGTAAAAGATGCTCATGGTGCTGAGATGATTAGCTTCTTCCTTACGCTATTCCTGCTTCCTCTTCCTCAGTTCCCTACAGTGAAAGCTTGGGAGAGAGCTGAGTAAGGTAGGGCACATGCTTAGTGTGAGGAAGGCCCCGAGTTCATTTCTTACAACACAGAGACACACACTCCCTTCCCATACACACTCAGGCATACACACACACACACACACACACACACACACACACACACTCTCTCTCTCTCTCTCTCTCTCTCTCTCTCTCTCTCTCATAAATAAAAAAATCCTACACTTAAGTCTTGTAACTAGGAGAAACTTGGAGTACACATACCTCCTCCAATCTATCTCTTAAAACAGGTTCCTTTTCTAACCCTCTGTGAACTCCTTATAGTTAAACGAAAAGCAACACCCTGAAGCAAGCCTAGAAGAAGACAAGAAGGACAGTACCTCATCAAGACTCCTGCTGGGGCAGAAGGTGATTTTCTTCTTGGCATACTCTTCTATTGACCTGGATATGGCCTCCAGCCAGTCATCTCTTTCTGTGGCAGAACTGATGGGAGTAAAAGGTTCCATCAAGAAGGTATCAGCACACCGAGTCCTTCTGTCCTTTTTTTCTCCTTTTCCTTCTCCCTAGGCAACTAATACTACCTTCCTGTCAGCTCCAAAGGCTATTCCCTCCAAAAGGAGTCATTTTCTTACCTCTGGCAGAAGGGACACAGGGCTACTTGGGGTTGCATATCAAAGCCCACAGTGGCCTCCAGGCTCCCCCAGTATCACAAGGGCATGATAGGCATGTCAGAGTCCATGACAGCATACTAGCCCTTTTCACCTCCCCAGGCTTCCTTCCACCCAGATACCCATTTGTTCTATGTATAATGGCAAACTTTCCCCTCTGTTTCCCCCCACTATTCCTGCTATAGTCTCATTCTGTCTCCCTCTCCCACTTTCTCTCTTTCCCATTTTCTTTCTCTCTCTCTCACTCACTATGCTCTATTCTATTTTCTCACATTCCTCCACTTCCTTAGCCCTGCCCATGCCCGGTCACTGGCCATGTTCAATCTACTTCTTTCTCTCTCGTAAATAAACACATTTGCTCTGATTCTTGCTCTGATTCTTCCAGATGCCTTTGGCTGCCTCCCTCCCTACCCCTGTCTACAGTAAAAATCTTCCTATATCATGTCAACAGTTTCTTTATTGTGCTCCTTCTCATATAATCTGGTGCTGATATCCTCACTGTTTCACCCAAGGTATGGATCATTTGTTCTGCTGGCTTCTGACATGTACCATACTCTACTCCAAATTTTAGAGTTTGTCTCTTCAGCTGCTTCTCCTCCACCTGCTCTAAGTGCTCATCTCTCCTTGTGTATTTGGTAAGTGTCCTCTCAGTCCCTCCGCTCCTGGAGCCTCCTATGCTCTCTGCCTCTCACTGGCTCACTGGGCTCTGCTGTATGTCTCTCTGTTGTGATTCAGGGCATCTCTCTACTAAGGCACTTCTCTCTCCCCGTCTATTGGAATGCTCCCTCTGGAGAGGGTTCCTGTTCCTGACTCTTTGCCCCAAGTCTTTCCCATCTCATCTTTGCTCTGCTCCTGGCTCTTTTCCCACCTGTCTCTTTGCTCCTGTAACATGATTCACCTGCCTTCTCCAATCTATTTCCTCCTTGGACTCAAATAGTACATTAAAGCCTCACTGTCTTACTGTAAATGGTTTGGCCTCAGTACAGCTCAATGGCCCCAAACTGACACACACAATTTCCAAATTGCCGAAGATTCATTTTGTTTTTGTGTTTTGAGTCAGGATTTCTCTGTGTAGCCCTGGCTGTCCTGGAACTTGCTCTGCAGAGATCCATCTGCGTATGCCTTCTGAGTGCTGGGATTAAAAGTGTGCACAACAACTGCTGGTCACTTGCAGATTTTTAACAATTTCTGTGGACACACACACACACACACACACACACACACACACACACACACACACACACACACACAAAATTAATCCCCCAAAATATCTTATCTTTAAATTTTCTCTGCTTTCCACTCTTAAAAATCTCCTATCTCTCTGCTCTCAAAAAAATCTCTTAAGATCATTGTGTAAACTTTTTGTATCTCAAAATTTGTAAATTAAATGGGTATGGTTTAAAAATCTGTAAAATCTTTAACAAAGCTTAAAACTTAAAACAGAAAGAGTTGATAGTTACATATAGATATACACATAAAGTTAACTACTACAAATGCTTGTATGTAACAACTCTTGTTTAAAAATTAGATCTGCTACAGCATAATGTATATGTAAGTTGGACTCAACTCTTGTTTATGAAAAGTAGGACTTACTAACAACAAATGTTTGATGACTGAAGTTTAAGGCCTATTGAGGCCAGCAGAAACTGACTTAAACATACAGGTCTAGCTGCTCTGTCTTTGCTAACTTTGTTAACCTTTAGATATTTGAGATAAACAGAGTCACACAACAAACTGTGATACTATGTAAAGGCACTATGAAAGAACCAGAAAGACAGAAGATGGTGAGGTGACAAGGACATATCGTTAGCACCATAAACCATACGCTGGAGCAGTAAACTGTGGGTGCCTGTGGTATGAGGGCTCGGCCACCACTCAGCACACTGCGTTTAGTTCCTAGACATCCTTCACCAGGAGCTATCTTTAACCCAACTCCATTATGAACAAGCCAGAGAAGAGGCCTGCCTGGAAAAAGGCATTCTCCTTTTGCCTTTTTCAACCATACCTCTCCTCCCACACTCTGTGGTTAATTCCCATTCATTATTAGTGTCAAGACAGTTATGAAGTCATTTAAAATTTGTTTTGCATATTCAAACCTTCCAGGTACACTTTAGGGAATATAAATATGATAATCTATAGATATACATGGAAAGGAAAGGAGAAGAGACAATCAATTTAAAATCTATCATAATGAAATAGATCCTTCATAATGGGAACATAATAGTGTAAGGAAATCTCTGTATTTCTTAGAGAGTGATATTAAAGTATGCAAAAGATCTGACAACTACAGTTGGATTTAAAATACTTTAGAAAATGTAAGACAAGAAATCGACTCATTGCATTATTCACTCTAATTTTAAGTATAAATAATTCAATATAATATATATTATATATTTTAATTATCATATGTATTCAATGCATATCAACTATATTAAATGAATAAGTATGAATAAATGAAATAAGAACAAAATAAACAAAACTCTAAATTGTGAATACAGAGACATATGGATGGGCACAGGGTACTGGTTTTTGGATTGTTTTTGTCTTCCTCCCACTTTGCCAGGGCTGGAGGATCAATACTGGGAAGAACTTAAGAATTCCAGACTAAGAACTCTAACAACTATCTGCTACAGCCCTAGTTCCCTTGTTACTGCAGAAGAAGCTAGAACCACTTGCCTTTCCCATAATAAATATTTTCAGTAACGTACTTCCCTGATAAATGCCATTTAGGATATTTATTCATATTGACAGAAGAATTTACAAATGATATTGGCAAATTAATAGTTCCCAAATTTCTATTACTACAAAGAACACAACAAGAAATAACACTTTTCTTTCTAAACCAAATAAAATCTGCCCGTTACTTCTACTATTCTAGCATTATTGCCAAAAACAACTGCTGATTAATAGTTACGATACTCAACCAACAGCACTAAAATGTTTCCCAAATGTCATCATTTCTTATCTTCAGAGTCCCTGGGATACCCACTGGATCTTAGTTCCACCCACTACATTAGCAGACATTGTCACTATGTACAGATGAGGAACTGTGGACCGCCAATATTAGACACTGGTTTATCAATGACAGCTTCCTGAGTTATGGACTCACACAAGACCCAAGTGTAGTGAAGGGCTGAACCCTTCACCACCAGGGCAGTACCATCTGGTATGTTTTCTCTGAAGAACTACAACACAGGAACAGACACTTAAGACTTCTGGGCAAACATTTATGAATCATTACCAGCTCTCCTTCTACCACCCACTTTTTGCTCGAAGTAACTGAAAACAGAAAGGCAGATGGCTAATTTGAGAATTGCTGTTGGATTTTTTTGGAGCCCTGGGAGCATGAGAAATGTGATTTGACTGTACAAATCATGTCACATATGCTGTTCTTTTGTTTAATCATTCCTGGCGCTCCCTTGTGTGGGCTTCTGCCAAGACAATGTTTACTAGCTCTTGATAACACATTTCTTGCAGACCACACACATTTGCCTGAAGCATACAGTGCTGACATGCTAGGCCTTTTGTAACACAATTAGCAGAAAAATCCATATCTTCGTCAAACTGACAAACAGGCTGAGTACTATGTTTTTCATAGAATGTGTACATAATCAGAAGGCAAATTTTATCAAGTAAATTTATTTTCTTCTGCAATGAATTACTGAGAGGAAAAACTGCCCAAGTAAAAGGATTTCTGGTATGCCAGACCTTGCCACACCAATGTTTGCACTGATGGCAGGGTGCAATGCTGATGCTTAAAGGCCACATTTCTGTGACTCTTCTGAATTACGTTTACTGGGCTGTTATGATAGGTTAGGGACTGTGAACTGGACATACAAAATAGGCTTCAGCTAAAGGTTCACATCTCACTCTGCTGAAAAAGTAACCAGCATATAATGCATGCATAAAAGAGGGACATTGTTATATTGAGGTGGCAGGGCAGGCCCGCAGTGGGGCTGGCAGGGCTTGAAGAATCACAGAGTCTCACAGGGAGCAGCAGTGTCTGTGCACCGTCATTATTTTGGTCATCTCCAAGATGCTGGCATTCACACATGTGCATCCAGCCCAGGCGTCCTTCTGACACTGAAATCATTGCATGTGGGAGGATCCATGCTGACATTCCACATGTTCAATGTACACACCAACCCTGATTTGTCCCTCAACTGTTCTCCTTCAAGTGCTACCTATCACAGGAATCGCATCATCACCATATAGCCCATAAACCTGCCAACTCGTGATGAATAACCCTTCCTTTCATCTTCTGTGTTCAATTAATCACCTTTTCCCCATGTGCTGTCCAGACAGGAGTGAAATTTTCTGATCACACTGGTCGCTGTTATAAACCATTAAGTGGCTTTCCTATGGATCTTATGCTAAAGACCCAAATCTACAAGGTGGTCCTGCTTTAGCAGGCCCTCCAAGCTTCTCTTGGGTGCTTCTTGTGTCATTTCCTAGCTCATACTACATGCTCCTTCTACCTTAGAGCCTTTGTAGTCAGTGCTGTGAAACACCAGGAGGCCTTTGCTTTTCCCTTTGCCTAGTTATACAACACTTACCCTTCATAAATCAGTGAACACAACAAGCCTTTAAGGCCTATCTCCATGCCCTTTCTCCCCTAAATCTAGCTTGCTTATCACCCTCATGACAATTAGTACTCTTCCTGTAGCCTACTTAATTATAGTGATCCTTACTTTACTTGGGTTCATATTTGCCAAGCACATATCTGCCCTAGTGGATACAGGCTTAGTGAAGAAAGGCACTTTTAACCATTCACTATGCCTCTATGCTAGCACAACGCTTAGCCAAAGGCAGAGGCTCCATATTACTGACTAAATAAAGTGATGAAGTTCAGGCAGAGGAGCTCCCTGGGAAAGGCAGAAAGATGGGAAGTAGGATAGCATGCATGGGGACGTAAGCTGGAAGCCAGGTAATGACTCTCTCTCCAGCTATGAAGGGTCTAGATGCATCATCTACTAAAGGAAGGCTGTTCCATTTATAGAGAAGGCCTGCTGGCTGGCATAGACACCTTCTTCAATCACCTCAGCTCCATCTTCCGGATAACTCACTGCAGCTTCTACATCAGTACGTGCTGCTTTATATATTCACCTTCTGTTGGCATGCTCTGAGACACAACATAACGCTCAGGAAGCAACCCCTGCTTTCCTCACACATCCTGCTGCAGTGTCTCTACCTCTCTGGACTTGCACAGAACTGAAAAGGGTCTTCCTCTAGACTAGGCTTTGACTTAAGAGAATGCTGTTACTGGTTTCCTTTTCTATCTACACTACTCAAATGTCCCCCATAAACACAAGCCTGCTTTTGTTTGTTTGTTCAGTGGAGTAGCACATTTAACTGTCTTCAAGAACTTTTCCTTCCCATTTACAACTTGGCTAACTGGCCCCAAATGCCTAATTTTCAGCAGCCTGGGCTTTTGGTACACCTTCCTTATTAATCTTGATCACTTCTACCTTTTGATTTAAAGTGAGAGATGTGTAACTCTTCTTTTGGTTGGACACTCACAGGCCATTGTAAGGTTATTTTGGCTAAGAAAATAAGGAGGACATGGCAAAGGAGAAAATACAGGGAAACATTCAGTTCAGTCAGAAAAAATAAACATTTCTTAAGTTGAGCATCACACAGGCATGCTCATACTACCCAAGACCAATTAAATGTTAACATCAATGATCACATAGTACAGATCATGAAAAGATACAATGAAAAAACTAAATATAGTATTACAAAAATAGGACAGGGAGACACATTGAGTGAGCATATGCTGTCAGAAAAAGGAAACAGGACTGAAAAGATGGCTCAGTAGCTACAAAGGTTGCTGAGCCATCACAAGGACCCACTAACAAGCTCAGAATTCCACAAACACTTGCACTCCAGTTCCAATGACATTGAAGCCCTACTCTGCCCTCCTTACATGCACACATGCAAACACAGACACACAGGTATTTAATTTATAAAAAGAAAAGGAAAGGGGCATTGGGAGACTGTGTAGGGTTGCCACAAATTTTCAGTTCATAGAATATACAATATTGAAGTGGGCATGGTAGTATGTGCCTGTAATCCTGCAACACAGAAAGGAGAAGACTGCTGATAATTTGGGGCCAGCTAGACCACATAAGGAGATCTGGCCTCAAAACAAACAAATTAACAAACACGAATTAAAGCACACAGTATCTGTAAAGTAGAGTGAAGTGCAATATATGAGTTATGTTTATGTATGAGTTATATGACTTTGGGTTTCCTTAATGCTTGATTTACACTGTAGCTTTCCTGTTGTTTTCAGACAGGGAATCGCATAGTCAAAGTTGGCCTCAAACATACTATGTAGAGGAGAATGATCTTGAATGACTGTGTGTGCCATGAAGCCCAGCCCTTATGACATGTTTATATTACACATAAGTCACTTTTCAGTTTGAGGCTAATCTGATATCATACACAACTGTAACAACACACATATATACACATATAAGCAAAAGACTGTGATTGCTATTCTGTCTTTGTTAGCTATATTGAGAGCAAATTCAACTTTTTTGTAACATGGTTTCTTCATGTTTAAAGAGATAACTACTGCATGCCTTATGAACCATAAATGATACATGAAATCTTTCTAGTAAAGTACATAGCACTAAGTGTTCTTAAACACATTATGTTAAACTATAGAAGACTTTGCAATACTTTTAAAAGGTTATCAGCATAACAAGTTCCAGCATTAATATTATTATTCTACATAGAAGAATACTGCTATTTCTTGTATCAGCTCTGTCATGTGCTTGGTTATAATGTGTCCAAAAACGGGAACAAGTTTTAGGAAAGGGATAAATAAAATATCTAGCAGCTGACCTAAATGTCAAAAACTATAATAAAAAAAATATCTGAGCCAGCTATACTGTCAAAACGAGTATGTGTGTGTATGTATATGTGACTATGGGATGACTACACACACACACACACGCACACACACACGCACGCACGCACGCACGCACGCACGCACACACGCACGCACGCACTCGTGCGTGCGCACTTACCTGGCTGAGAGGATGAAAGAGCGCTCCACACTTTCAATCTTTAATTCATTCTGATATGCTTCTTGGGTGGGTTTTCTAACCTGGAAGAAGGTACACATATCTGTCAAACTTACTGTGTTATAAGTCTGACATGTCAATAGTAGCTGAAGTTGCCCAGACCCCTGGTAGTCTCCTCACTCAGCTTTCTTTACTGTCCTCTGTCATCTACTCTTATGATGTTCCAGATGAATTTAAATATCTGCATGCAGGCCTGACTTCCCCATCTCCAAGCCTTAGGTCATAATATGCACTCTAGGATGCCTTTCCCAGTGTCCTAGCGTGGCAGCCTAGGTTATCCCTAAGTCTCACTGTCTTTCTCCACAAAGGCTTCCCTGATTCTCTCTCAAGTGGTGGTTTCTGCTTTATGTTTTATTTGGGAAAGGGTCTCACTATGGCAGCACCTGGTATTCACCAGCTATCTATCAAAAGCAGCATAGCAACCAAAAGCACCATGCTCTTCTTGGCTATGCAGGCTCACACCTGTGATTTCCGCACTCAGGAAGCTAAGGCAGAAGATGTCTTGACTTCTAAGTTAGCCTGTGCTACAGAGTCAACTCTAGCTTATACAAAGCTTGGTTCTCATTTATGATCCTAGCACTTGGGAGATCGAGGGAGAAGGATAAAGAACTCAATGCCAGTCTCAACCACACAGGCCAGCCTGGGCAATAAAATAAAAATACAACTCCAAACCAAGCCTTTTAAACATATACAAAAAAGCATGTATATATATTTGAGATGACAGTTCTACTGTGATGTCTCAGATGGTCCTGAGCTCCTGACCTCAAACAATCCTCCTAGCTCAGCCTCTGTGCACAGGAATTAAAGGTATACACCATCCACTTGTCTTTGGCTCTAAATCCCAATATTTGTTATTTATTTCTGTTATATTTAGGCAGAGTCTCAAGTAGCTGAAGCTAGCATGATACTCACTATGTAGCTGAGAAAGCCCTTGAGCTCCTACTCCTCTTGCCTCCTCCTCCCAAGAGGTGAGAGTGCGTGCTGCCAAACCCTCCTTACACTCCTAAGTGTGTTAAGTGTGCCTGAAGAATGGTCCTTATCACTGTGTACTCACAGGTGCTACTTCTGCATCACTGCAAAGTCTCAGGGCACAGGGAGGTTTTGGAAGAGGCAGACACAAAACGAATCATCCTTTAATTCATCCTCACATTTTTTACCAAATCAGTTACTGTTTTTGTTTATAGTAGTTCTCAATAACTATCCCTTGAATAAATTAACACAGAATGAAGCACTGACAGGAACAGATACATAAGTAGCAGCAAACAAACAGAAGCAGGGTTCGAGAAAGACAACTATCTTATGGGTTCTCAACAGATGTTTTCGAAAGTGAAAAATGTAACATGCACACAGACCTTCATTCCAGCCAATGAGAGCATGTTGTTCAATTTGTACATCCCAGACTGCATGGGTGTTGTATACAGCAGGGCATCATTAAACTGGAAGGAGAAACATAACACAAGGCCACTGACAAAAAACCAATTTCAGCAACAAAGATATTAAAAGCACACAAGGAGGCCGCCGCAGACTGACCTGGAACTAGGTGAGTGAGCTCCTGCCCGCTCCCGACCCCAGGCCAGAACACCCCACCACCCCCATCCCACCACCCCCGCCTGAGCCTGC